GTCTATATACTCCATCAGCTATGTTTGAGAAAAATCAAATGTTTTGTACTTTACTCTTAAAGAGTTGGTTAAGCACTTTGGGAAATTATTTCTTAGAATATTTATAAGAATTACTCGTATTACATAAATCTTTCGAAAAGGTTAATCCTTTAAAACTCTTTTTTGTATATATTATATACTCCCTCCGTCCCTTAAAACTTTGTAACTTTCTTTTTTTTTTTGTCCCATAAATTTTGGCATTTTCTCTTTTAAGTAAGGAATTTGTGGTTTCAGTTATTTCTCTCTTCTCTGTAGAAAGCTTAACCACACAGTTTTTACTTTATTAATCTTTGTGCCGATCAAACTTTCCCAAGTTTTAAGTGATGACAAAGGGAATACAAAATAAGTAACTACTTACTTTTCACATAAACTACTACAAGTATATTGCGGGGTTGTGTGAGATTTACTTAGCGAAATCAAATTTTTGTGTTATTTGTTTCTTTTATCTTCTTAAGTCAAAGATGAAGAATGATGGCATTGAGAGCACTCCTAGAAGAATAGGGTAGTCTCCTTTAGAATAAACTATGTTAGATGACACTATTTTAAATGTTGAAATTTAAATACATTTATGGTGGATAACCTTAGCATCCACTTAGTTGAGGGTTAGGTATGGCGGTTTATGATGGATAGTCTTAGCATCCCGTCAGTTGAGGGTTGGGTATGGCGATGATATGCCTTTTTCTTGTTATCGTTAAATTGTGCTGCAAACACTTTAAAGTTTTGAATGAATAATCAAAATCTATTACTCCCTCCGTCCCCCTAACTTTGTCTCGTTTTACCTTTTCCGTTCATCCCATTAAGTTTAGGGTTCATCTATCGTACATACACAAAAATAGAGTGTTTTGATACCTTCACTTTTTCAGCCAATCAGATGCCAGATAATAGCCAAGTCATTTCCGCACCTTAGTTTTAATTTTCTCACATCAAAGCCACACCCACTTTCAATATTTGCAATCCAATCCCTCAATTGTTTTAAAAATAGAGGAATCACGCAAGTAGGCAACCATTGCTGCAATGGAAACCGCAGAAAAGGAAAAAAGAAGATGCGACGAACCCGCAGGCGCCCAAAGAAGAACCTGCCGGCACCAAGGAAGAATCTGCCCGACCTAGGTAGAATCTTCCGGTCGATGAAGAATCTGTCAGTGAAGAACCTGTTGGCGTCAAAAGAAATGTAACTGTCCGACCAAAAAAGAATTTTCCGGTCAAGGAAGTCCCGCCGGTGCCAAAAGAATAGCCCGCACGGGCCAAAACTATTAATATTGAACCCATGTTGTTGTTTTGAGGTGATAATATTAAAACTAGGGATAGAATTTAGAATATGACGTGGAATCATCTTTTATGTGATTGGTTCAAAAAGTTAAGGTACCAAAACACTCCCTTTTTGTGTGTGTACCGTAGAATTTTCCTTAATTTTATCATATACTCCCTCCGTTCCTATTATAACTTCCAACTTTCCTTTTTCGTTCGTTCCAATTAAAACTTTCACTTTCCCTTTTTGGTAAAGAATTTGTGGTTCACAACATTTCTTACACATTTCTCTCTCCTCTGCACAACTCTCCACCACACAATACCCACTATCTTAAATTATGTGCCAAACCTATTTGGAAGTTATAATAGGAACGGAGGTAGTACCATATTTGGTAATATTTGAGTGGTTAGAATTTATTTTTAGTTTATTCACACTTCATCAATTCGATATCAACCACACAATTCTACTTTTTCTTTAAAAACACACCACACCCCTTTGTCCCAAACTTAGGGGGACGGAGGTAGTATTACTTCAAGTATTACTCCCTCCGTTCCTAATAACTTTGCCAAGTTTGACCGGCACGGGGAATAATAAAGTAAAAACTGTGTGGTTGAGTTTTGTGCAGAGGAGAGAGAATGAACTAGAACCACAAATTCTTTATTTAAAAGGAAAAGTAGCAAAGTTAGTGGGACATCCAAAAAATGAAAGTCGGCAAAGTTATAAAGGACGAAGGGAGTATATATAAGGGTGAAAAATTGGAGTCATACTCCTCTCCATTTACTCTCTCCAATTCTTTTTGACTCTATCTCTCCTTAAAAATAATAATTAAACATAATCTTTTCTTTTTTCCTACCTCAACTCTCTCTATCTCTCCTACCCAGGGGCGGACCTACGGTATAAGGAGGGTAAGCACTGGCTTCATTAGGCTATAGGTCAGAGGTTCGAATCCCCCTAAGGTACACCCAACTTTTTTTCTAAACTTCTCAGGTAGCATATATGGGCCATGCGAATGGGCTTTTTATTTTTTTTTCTTTGGTTGACTGGACCCGTAATAGACTAATAATTTTAATCAAACAGCTGCCATTTACACCCATTTGAAATCCCTAAACCCTATTCTCAAAAATCAAAATCTGCTCCTCTTGTACGTACGTATATTCTCAGCCGCAAATGGCTATCAACTTTTTAGACCTTTGCTCTTTTTCAGGTTTTTTATTTCTCTAACATTAAAGCTTAGTATTATTTCTCCAACATTAAAGCTTAGTAGTTACTAGTTATGGTTATAATTCATTTAATTTTCGAAATTATTATTGTTATTAATAATGAAACAATCAATCTATTTATTTAAATATGTATTATCTAATTTATTTGTGGGTGAAATTGCAGGCAATGGTTAGTAGAGGACCGGCTGTAAATTTGGAATTCACATTCACTCAACTTCTCAAGATTTTATTCATTTTTTTCTTAAATTATTAAAGCCTAATTAATATTATTGTTAATATTGTATTTTTTTAATCTCTAGTACTTAAACGTACTTCACATTTAAACAACTAGTACTGTAATTGATGGATAGTGTACCCGGGGGGTCAGTTTTTCCTTCATAGGGCTTGATGAGTTGCCCTCGGTACTTTTCCGGGATTTGGGCCGCCAATACCCTTGGGGTGAATGGCGTCCGGGTCCGGAGCTGGATGATGGGTTCTCCGGAGCCCTCAGCTACCTTCTTCTGTAATTCCTCCATTTTGGCCATCATGGCCTCGTATTTGAGGTCTGAATGAGGGGTGGAGGTGGTGGCGTGAGCTTTGTCGGCCTCCATTTCATCAAGTCGGCGTTGGAGGGTCGCAATAATTTCATCCCGGGGGTCCTTCGGGAGGGTCTCCGCCCCCTGCGAACGAACCCGGGCCGAGTGGGCCTGGTTGATCTGGTGGCGAGCATCGTCGGCATGAAGGGGTGCCTTGCCTTTGTCCCGAGGGGGACGCTCCTCGTCTGCCCTCGAGACAGACCCTCCGCTTTCTTGGGGCCCTCGGCGGTCTTGCCCCCCTCCGAGCCGGTTGAGGGCGGAAGTGCGGGGCCTTTCTCTGTTGTCATTGTGGCGGTCCCGGGACTGAACTTCCTGGGAGGCCGTGTCTTGGGCCACTACCCCTTCGTCATTCCTAACCCGAGGGATGGGGTTTCCGAAGGGGTGTGGCAGAGGGGGGAGTACGATGTTCTCCCCAACCTGGGGTTGAGCCGGAGCCAGGGTGCCGAAGGCACCCGGGTTCTGAGTTAGCGTCTGGATGAAGGCGGAGAGTGCCGAATGAACGTCGATGGTGAGGACCGGAGGGCTGACTTGGTCATCGCTCCGGTTTTTCTTCTTGGCCTCGATGCCGAGGCGGGCATCGGGGGCATTCTGTTGGATCTGAAGGCGTAGGTCGACAGCCGCCTGTTCCAGCCCAGCGATGACACCGCCCTCGGGAGCCTTGTGAGAGGCTTCGGGGGCGTTGACGTCGCCGAGGGCCAGGTTCTTGTCTTCTACGTTTTTGGAGTTGGCACGTGTTGTTCTCACCATTTTGGTAGAGGGTTAGTGTTTGGCGAAGGGGGAGGGTTTCTTACTTGATCGTTCGACCTCTCAACGAGAGCACCAAATGATAGATAGTGTACCCGGGGGGTAGCTTATCCGAGGGGTTATTGCGGAGAATAACTAGAGAGAAGTCAGAGCAAACAAGTAAGAGAGAGAGTGTATATTCGATTTGTATTAAGCGTGGTTTACAATGGGGAAAAGGGGTGCTATTTATAGTGGTAATAAATGCTAGATAAGGACACGTGTCAGTTTTCTGGTGGTCGAGGGGTCACCTCGACCGGGGTGGCACTGACACTCGCATGTGGTCGCATTAAATGCGGTGGTTGGATGTGACGTTTGTACTTGGTACGGTGATCAAGGCGCATGTGAAGAGGATATTCTGTCGAGGTGGATGCCTTCGGCTGAAGGATGCTGGGCCGAAGGCTCTTCTAACCGAGGGCTCCTACCTGTCGAGGGCTGCAGGTGCCGAAGGCTTGGTTTTCAAGCCTTGTTCTCCTGTGATGTTTCTGAGCTCGATTCCGTCACTGGTAGCCTTCGGCCATAGGGCCGAAGGCACCCCTTTGCGTATTGTGGGCTGCTCAGAGCTCCATTTTGCTGGGCTTGGCCCGTTTGGGCCTGTTGGGCCTGATTGTAGTAGAGGAAGTATGTGGGCCGGGGGTCCCTGGGCCATATACTCCATCAGTAATTTTACTTTTGTATGTTATTAATTTTATATTTGTAAGTAGGGGGAAATAACAATGACCAATTTTGAATTTATATTTTTTTTCATTTTTCAGCTAGTATATTATAATATTAATATTGATATATATATATTATAGTGTTCATATTTATAATCATATTTTGATTTATACATTTTCAGTAAATACAATGTCCGCCCATGTATAATTTTGTTACCGTTACAAGAGGAAGTTGTGATTTAATTCATAATGAAGCTAGCGGATCCCGTAATTTTAAGCAACCTAGGATTGATGTCAATTTAGATGATTTGACCACAGAATCGGGATCACTATACATTTTATTTAGCCTTTTATTTAATTCATGTAATATAGTATTAGTTTTTTATGTGCAAACACTGAGCTGGATGACTTTGGAGGACCCAGTGACCCAAAGTTTAGAGAGCTACAACAATCCATTAACCTCCTCTCCCGCTCCAATAACCAACCCCATACGGCCATACCCAATGGCTAGCCCTTGTCCCGCCTCCCAATCATATGCCCTGCCGCTTTCTCCCCACCCTACTCCCTACCTGTTGCACCCTATCCCCAGGATATCATCAAACTCATTGGATCGATGAAGCTGGCCGCCGCATGCGTGAGTCATAGTCTTCAATTTAATTATGGCCTCCATATTTGGATCTTCGATCTTCTCTAACTTGAATTTAACTTTAGCCATAGCGAAGAAGATGGCCTTCTCTAGGAGCTCCGGTCTGGATCTTCATCGCCGCTTGAGATTTAAGGTTGGAAGGGCATCAGGGGTTGCGTACAAGTAAGAAGAAAGGAGGAGAAGAAGAATATATATGAGAGGAATTACAGTGAAGGTGGGGAAGCAGAGTCATGGTCGTCTTCATCAACCCCTAGAAATTGTCATCACCTATCGTTGTCGTCGGCTTGAGGCGTCATTGACGCTAGAGCCTTGCCGTCATCGTCGGAGGCAGTCAATGTTAGAGCATGCAGAGAGTGGGGAGGGAGAGCAAATTTCTGTCCATCGGGTTCTATTCTCTTTTTTGTCCACCTACAAGTTTGTAGTCTAATTTCTGTCATTTTTTTAAATTGTTTCATAAAAACCACCCTTTAATGATAAGAATAATCATTGCTCACTCATTGGCGTGTCAATGGTAGGGTCTAGACTCGGATCTGACCCGAACCCGATTATTTTTAAAGGATACAATCTATATTTTATTCCGTTTACCCATATCTGAATCTGTTAGTATTTTTCATAAACATGTCGGGTATGGTATATAAGATTCTGACCCGTTCAGAACTCGGACCCGTTTAAAATTTCTTAAAATTATACACCCACACACTAATCTAATACATAAAGTGATTAGTGAGTTTTTTCCCAAACTAGGATAGTTTCAAAACTTATTTCTCAAAGTAGGGTACTTTTAAACTTATTTCCCAAACTAGGGTATTTTTTGCCACGTCATCAAACTTGCCACGTCACGGATGCCACATAATTGCTAGTCATTCCCAAACTAGGATAGTTTCAAAACTTATTTCTCAAAGTATGGTACTTTTAAAGGTGACAACTCCGGTACCTTTCTAAAAAATGGGGTACCGTACCTCCTATTGGACCACACCACTTTTATCATTTTTAATTTAGATTTAAATAATTCAACTTCTATCATTTTTAAACTTATTTCCCAAACTAGGGTATTTTTTGCCACGTCATCAAACCTTCCACGTCACTCCATGTCATCAATTTGTGTGTGTTTTACTTAATAAAAAAATATGTCACTAGTGGAACTTGAACCCACAACCTCTCATCTACTTCATTGTAGTGCAAGAACCACTAAGCTACAATGATCATTTGGTATAAGCTCGCATTTAAATAGCTTTAACATATAGAATTATTTAGATTTTAAGTTCTGAGGTTTACTTTTTTAACTTGTACATTACTCGTTCCTTTAGAATATTTTACTTCTTTCTCAAATAATTAAAGAATTTGTGAAAATTTTGATTTGAGTTATTCAATTAAAAAATAAAAAAAAACAATTAAAAATTATGATAAAAACGTAATTGGATATATGTAAGTATAAACAAAATTGTATTTTATATGTTCGAGTTCAATAAGATGCTCACTATCGAGCTAAACAAATAATGAAAATTGAAAAATATAAATAAATAAATAAATAAATAAATAAATAAATAAATAAAAGTATTGATGAATTAATAAATAAATTTATTTATTTATTTAATTCATCTATTATTTTATTTATTCATTCATTTATTTTTCATTTATTTTTCATTTATTTACAATAAATAAATAGATAAATAAATATATAAATTTATTTGTTAATTCATTAATACGTTTATTAATTTATTAATTTTTCCATTTATTTATGTATCCATTCATTTATTTATTTATTTTATTTATTTAATTAATTATTTTTCAATTTCTCATTATTTGCTTAGCTCGATTTCGATCATCTTATTTGAACTCGAACATATAAAATACAATTGTTTTTATAATTAGATATATCATATTACTTTTTATCATAATTTTTAATGTTTATTTTTTAATTGAATATCTCAAATTAAAATTTTCACAAATTCTTTAATTATTAGAGAAAGAAGTAATATATCCTAAAGGAACGAGTAATGCACGAGTTAAATAAGTACATCTTAGAACTTAAAATTTATATTGTCCTATATGTTAAAGATATTTAAATGAGAGGTTATACCAAATGAGCATTGTAGCTCAATAGTTTGTGCACGTCATTTTACATTTCATATACATATCAACTTTGTTGGATACATTTCATTCTACCCAACCCGATTCCGAGACTTGTTAGGTCTGAGTCCGGGTCCAAATTTTTAGACCCACCGGGTAAATGAATCGGATCCGAATCTATTATTAACTTAGTGGGTTCGGATCTGGAACATTACATCCGACCCATTGACAGGCCTACTCACTCAGTATGTTACTTTCACTAATGACATATTTTTTTATGAGAAATCTTGATTTTTTTAAAAAGTGAAGATATATTTTTCTTTTAAATTTGTGCACGTCATTTTACATTTCATATACATATCAACTTTGTTGTATACATTTCATTCTACCCAACCCGATTCCGAGACTTGTTAGGTTTGAGTCCGGGTCAAAATTTTTAAACCCACCGGGTAAATGAATCGGATCCGAATCTATTTTTAACTTAGTGGGTTCGGATCTAGAACATTACATCCGACCCGAACCCGACCCATTGACAGGCCTACTCACTCAGTATGTTACTTTCACTGTCCATTAAAAATATACCACGTAATTGACAAATTAATTATCCATAACTTGTGGGTATTTGACATCAGTGCCTGAATGGTGCATATCATCCCAAAAAGTGTAGCTTTAGATTCACTTTTTGAAATTCTAAGCTTTAACGATTATTTATCGTATTTGACATTTTTACAAGTATTTATATTTATTTTTATATTTGTAAAATTTTACAACGTTTACCATTTTTTTTTATTTTTTTCAGATATGTTTTTCAAGACGTGACTTGCAAGTTAAATCCCGGTAAAAGAATTGGGATAGGCCCATTGCCAAAGTGATGCTCTCAGATATGGATGCAACAATGTAAGTGATAGATTCAAAATAGAACAACACAATTGTTCAAACATGCAAGCATTCGTTTCTATGTGCATTTCTCATTGTGCAGAGCTGTAGGATGTCAGGATTACGTATTCATGAAAAAACTATCACCCTGTGATAATAAGGGATATTCTTAGTTGAGTTCTATCGGCTTGAGAGGGAAACCCCTCTTGCTGAATGTAACAAAAATATCTTTGGCTTCTTCAAGCCGAGAAGACTGAACCAGCAAATCTATGAATGAGTTACAAGTATGAGCGTCGGGAAGACACCCATTCACTTCCATGGAGACAAACAAATCCTTAGCTTCATTAAACCTCCCTAATCTACACAAAGCCTCAATAAAAGCTCTGTAAGTATAATTATCAGGCCTCAAGCCCAACCTGGACATGGTCTTGAGAACCCTTTTTCCCTGCTCAATCTCATTCATTCTGCACAAACTTTGAATCAAAGCATTAAAGCACAAAACACCTCCACTCACCTCTCCAACACCTTCCATCTTCTTCAACAGCTCTATTGATCTTCCGACATCTCCTTTGAAACAAATTGCACGGATTAAGATGTTGTATGTGATTGCATTTGCGGAAACACCCCATTCTGACATTTCCATGAAGCATCCAAACGCATCTTCAATCTGGTGCGCCTTACAAAGACCGTTGATTATGGAGGTGAAAGTCAAAACATCCGGTTTAAAACCCTCCTCCAAGAGCAACACCAGAAGCTTCCTGGCCTGTGTTAGGTCCCCTAACTTGCAATACCCATCGATGAGTGTGTTGAAAGTGACGAGATTTGGTCGAATATTACTCTCTCCGTCCTAAAAAAAACATGTCTCAAAAGTTGTATTGTTCCCAAAAGAATAGGTTGTATGTGATCAAAGGAAACCACTTTTTATATTTATTGATTTAGTTTACCAAAAAAAGTCTGCAAACAAGTTAAAGGTTTCCAAAATTACAAGATTGTACCTTGAGCAAACAAGACTCCTTTTTAGGGATGGAGGGAGTACTTAAACTCATCATATCATTCAAAGCCTTTGAAGCTCGGTACATCATTTTGTTTGTGCAGAAATTGTGAATCAATATATTGTACGAGAATGTGTTCGAAACAAGTCCCGCTTGGAACATTTGATCCACATAAAGATTCCCTTCTTCTACTCTTCCCATTTGGTAAAGAGTTCCAATGAGCAAAAGGTAAGCATCAAACCCTATCTTCAAGCCCCGTTTGTAAAAAACATCTAACAGTTGACAGCTCTCATCAACCTTTAACCCCTTGATTAAACAAATCAAGGTCATGTTAAATGTTTGATTGTCGGGTAAGTATCCCCAAATTAAAGATTTTTTTAAAAAATCAACAGCCACCATTGGCAGGGAATTATCAAAGAGACAACTTATTATAGCATCGCCCACCACCTTAGGGAAAACACGTTCCTTCTTAATCCATTCATATAACATTTCAAAAGCCTCAATCGATGGTAGATGGCGAAACACTCCTCTCACCAAAGCCCTCAACGTAACCTCATTTGGGATCACGTTCCTACTCTTCATCGTCTCGATCATCTGAAAAGCATCTTTTACTCTACTTACATTACAGAAACCATCAATCAAGGACGTATAAGTAAATACATTGGGGTCAAACCCTATTCCCTCCATCTGCTTCACTAACCGAGCTGCTTCTTCCATTAAACCAGCTTTACAAACTCCGTGTATCAGAATATTATAAGTAAACCGATCTGGGAAACAACCATCCACCTGCATTTGCTGAAACTTCAGATAAGCCAAGTCTAGTGAATTCGACTGTATTGAAGCATGGATGACAGCATTATATAACCTGGTAGTAGGATTTAGACCTAAAAATGAAAGCTGTTCAAGAATCTGAGCAGAATACTTAGCCAGCCCCAATCTTCCCCAACTACCAATCAAAACACATAACAAATCCTCATTGATTCTATGCCCAGAATTTTGGATATCATGAACTAATCCAGAAGATAACAAGATGGGACCTTTTCTGTATAGCACATTAGCTAGCACAGAACGAACCTGCTGGTTTTTAGCAAAACTGACGTCGATGTTAGAAACCCATGTATAGAACCTGAGAGGGAGCAATGGGTCTTGTTGATTTTGCAAAACGCTACTGATTGATCGAGGATTCAGGTGTACCCTTTTAGCCCTAAACTCGTGGTTTAAAAGCAGGCACCAGTCCTTTCGTGACAGAATTTGAGAAATGTGTAGAATATCAATGGAGTTTTTAGTGAACTTTTGTGCTCTAGCTCCGGTTGAAAATCGAAAGCAACAGGTGGGGTCCGAATAAGACTTACTTGGACCGGGCTTGCTTGAACCGCGGGTCAGTTCAAAAGCCAAAGAACACAAACTTTGCGCAGAAATGGCAGATCTTCTTCCACACGGGACCGATATGGCCATGGGCAATCAAAGAGAGTTTAGGGCTAGGAGGATTTTTTGGCTGAAAATAGATACGGAGTACGTCGCAATAAGAGATAATCCAAGCAAAACACAGAAAATGTTCAAAAACAGGAGGGAGCTCCTAAAATTCCTCGAATAGGAGTGCTCTTTAAAGCTTGGAAAAGACCGGAGTTGCTGCCCGCTGCTCGCCGGAATCTGTAAAAAAATTCCAGATCTGTTCTGCCGCCGCGTTTACCCCTATCACTGTCGTCAATTCGGCCACCGCCGCCGGCCGCCTGAAATCGCCGCCACAAAAAAATCCCTGGATGTTTCTACCACCATCCTTACACCACCCTTGTCGTCTGTCATAGCCACCCCTCAACTGTCCCCCACCAACGGACGGCCTGGGTTGTCACGGAGAAGGGGACAATTAATTAATTAGAATAAGGGTATTATGGGTATTAGGGGTAAAAAAAATTAAGTTTACTTCTATTTGGAAAGATTAGGGGTTAATTCTTATTTAGGAAAAAATTGTACTCCCCCGTCCCTGATTTTTCTCCCTTTTCGGTCAGGCACTACATTTAAGAAAAACACTTTTTGGCTTAGTCATTTACATTATTGCCTTTTATTTATTTACTATCTCTCTTAGGGTACTAAACAGTACCCCACAGTCAGCTAAGGCCGTTTTTTCTCTTCCCCTTTATTCCCGTACTGCGCACAAACAAAAGAAAAAAAAGTTGACTTTTTACCTCCACAATAATTGGCGGGAGTTAGTCCAAAAAAAACCCTAATCCCTCCAAAAATTAAATAAAGTTGGCAGCTTTGCTGTCTACATATACAACCCACAATAGGTAATCTGGAAAGAGGACAACAACATGGAAAATACAGAAAGTGTTCAGAAAAAAAAAAGATTGCCTAATGAAGTTAGACAACTCATATTGGGGGAACTTCTTCAGATTTCTCAAAATGGAAAGTTGCATAGAGGCGTACGAACTGCAATAGCAAAGAAATATAACGTGTCAGACAGGTGTGTCTCATTCTTTTGGGAGAAAGCAATGAAATGTGAGATGGAAGGTGTACCTATTAACGTGGATAGACAGATGGCTGAAGTGGTAGGAAGAAAACCACGGATTCTATCTCTTGCTCAAGTCAAGGACATAGACCTTGACAAAAGAAAGAGTATAAGGAGCCCAGCAACTGCCTTAGGGTACCCCAAAAGCAATGTGCACAGACTCATCCAAAAAGGTGAACTCAAAGCACACACAAATGCTATCAAACCATTTCTCACTAAGTCTAATATGATAAATAGGCTTCAATGGGTAATCTCTCACATACATAGATCCTCATTACTAACACAGCTCCTATATGAGTCAATGTTCAATTGTGTGCATGTAGATGAGAAATGGTTTTATATGACCAAAAGTTCACAGAGGTACTACCTTCTTCCAGGGGAAGAGGGGCCTCACAAGACTTGCAAGTCCAAGAGATACATCACCAAGGTGATGTTCCTCTGTGCAGTGGCTATGCCAAGGTTTTCATCAGACTCAACTGTGTTATTTGATAGGAAAATTGGAATTTTCCCATTCACTGAGTTTGAGCCAGCAAAAAGAAACAGCAAGAACAGAGTAGCAGGAACCATAGAAGAAAAAGCAATTAATAGTGTCACCAAAGAGATTTACAGGAGAATGCCTCATCAGGAAAGTACTGCCTGCCATCAAAGCCAAGTGGCCAATTGATGCATCTGGGGACATATATATCCAGCAAGACAATGTCAGACCACATATAGGTCCTACTGACAGTGAGTTCATCAAGGAGACTACAAGTGAAGGATTTAACATAAAACTAACCATGCCAACCAACAAATAGTCCAGATTTAAATGTACTAGACCTGGGTTTTTTCAGAGCAGTCCAGTCCTTACAATAGTCCTCACCAAGTTCATCAGTCTCACATTTAGTGGCAGAGGTGATCAAAGCATATGAGGACTTCTGCCCTCATACTCTAAACAAGGTGTGGCTATCACTACAGATGTGTATGAATGAGATTTTGACTGCTAAGGGTAACAACAACTACAAACTACCCCACATGGGTAAGAACAGATTTGAGCAACTACCTATCTCAATTCAGGCAGACACAACAACTATAACAGAGGTCATACAATTGTTGGAGGCTGCTAATACTCAGGTGTAGGTAGCACTTGGGAATTAGGGTTTTTGGTTTGTGTATAATTTTTGGGTAACAAAGACAAGGTGTAATGGTTTTTGGGTTTTTGGGTTTTTGGCTACAGACAGACAATCATTTTTGTATTTTGTCTTTTTGGGTTTGGGGTACATCTATATATAATGTACACAAACAAACACTGTCCCCATCTCCCGAACTCTGCTTTGGCCTTTTTCGCTTCAACCCTTTCTTGCCGAAGGGTCTCCTCCAGCCTCGCCATCTCCCGAACGGCGGCAACATTGTCGTGGACGAGGTTCTTCAAAGTCTCGTCCTGTTGTGCCTTCTGAAGGCGCAACGCTTCCACCCTTCAGGCCTGCTCGCGGAGGGCAATGCAAGCCTGTAAGCAGCAAGCAAATGGGTTGGACTACTCAGCAAGATACGCTAAGGCCAACAAGACTAAGGAAATGAAAAGAACAGACGGGTGATCTTACCATAAGAGAAGACCGGAGAATCTTGGAGTCGAGGGCTTCATCGTCTAGCCGGCTCAGGAATGCCCTATCCAGCTCAGGGGTGACACCCTTCAGGAACTCTTTGGGGTCCACTGTGCCATGCATGATGGTGGTTCCCTTTACGAGGGAGAATTGCACATTCTCCTGAGGGAAGCCCACCTCAGCCGAAGGGGGTTTGGAGGGGGCGTCGCCTCCACAACTAGAGGCTCGGACGAGGAGTGCTCATCCACGATCAGCACCGGGGGAGCCTTCTTCCCGGCATCCCCTTTTTCGGCTTCTTGCCGACGGGCGCAACACCTTTGCCCGCCGCTTTCCTCTTCGTAGCAGCGGCAGCAGCTTGGGAGCCTTCGACCTCCACACCAGCAGGGACAGCCGATAAGGGCTTAGCATCCCTCGGGAAGAACTCATCGACGTGTTTCTGAGTTCCCGTCTCCTTCTTTTTTGGCTCCTTAGCCAATTTCTTCTTAAGTCCGGCGAAGTTCTGAACATCCATATTGGCACCTGCAAGACAACAACAATAGTTAGACTGAGGGGATCAGCTACAAAACAGAAATGAAACAAATGCAAAAAATTTCTAAGTACAAAAGTTAGATCCTTCGGAAACCACCTCATGTGCTCTCGAAGGCACGATCAATGAGGGGGTACTTTTCGTCCCCTTCCCCCAGGTCCTCCGGGAGGGTCGAGTCCTTATTTGCCACATGCTACGTGGACCCCTTCCGGAAGAGCAGAAAGTTTCAATCCGTCCTTCTCGAGGGTGGCGCTCCCCACCTTCGGATGACATCTAAAATGGTTCCGCAACCCCCCGGGAAATGGGTTCACCGGCATCCTGATGTAGCAGAATCGGTCCTTCCAGCCCTTGTGAGACGAGGGCGCATCAGAAAAGAGCCTCCATTGAGCGACTTGCTGTAAGTTCGCGAAGCCTTCGGCATTGGCATGACCCCCCGGCAGAGGTTGAAGCTCTGAAAGAATATATCAAGGCTAGGAATCACCCCCCGGGACCGACAGAGGTTCAGAAAACTGGCAATGTATGAGTGGCTGTTAGGGGTTAGTTGGCAGGGGGATAAGCCAACGTACCTTAGCTACTCAAGGAGGAAGGATGCAATGGAAACCGGAGGCCAAGCGCTACGGATAAAACATGTACGACGAAGCACCCCTCGGGAGCCAGTGAGAGCACGTCATCAGGACCTGGCTCCACCACCGTCGCCGAAGACCCAACATGGAGCTGTGTGACGTAACATTCCACCTTATCAGCCCTCGACTTAAGCGCGAGGGCAGCAGTGTTCAAGAAGCAATGTCCCTCGGGTATCCCCACCGTCTTCCGAGAGTTTGCTACTTTTTGCTTCTTCTTCTGGGGGGCCTTCATCTTCTTCTTTCCCTTCATCAACGGTGCAGTCGTGCAGCCCGAAGGGGATCAGGGCTGAGGGGTCTTGAGGTTCCTGTTTGGCTGGCTATAGCCGAGGGGATGGCGATGGTAACCCGATGGCTCTCTTTCTCCTCCTCCTCCTCCTCCTCAATGGTTTGCATAACGAGGGCAAGTTCCTCATCCTCAATAAGTTGCTCGAACTCTTCGGCCTCCGCTTCGGCCATGAGGTCCTTCTGCACCTCTTGTGCTATGACGGAATCATTCTGGGACGAGGCCTCCCCACTTGCTGACCTCCCATCCGACCAGGTCTCGGATTGAACAGAGGGCTCTCCCGAGATGTTTTGGGAATCAGTAGCAGACGACATCCTTTGGAAGTATTGGAGAAAGGAATTGGGAAAGGGAGAAGGGTCCTAGGGCCACTAACACTACACCTAGAGCTTGCGGAGAAAAGTATGCGAGAAGTATCAAGAATGGAGGAAGAACTGACCTTGGAATTGGGGGTTTTGAGTTTTGATCGACCTGAGTACTTTCTCTCTCTAGAAAATTTTTGCCAGAGCTTCGCTACAACAAAATCGCACAAGGGGTATGGTCTCAGGGCAGGGATATTTATAGCCTCCCCATCTCGGGCTTGGGCTGAGACCCCCCCCCCCTCGGTTAAAAAGACATCATTACAAACCGCTGTCTCGGCTAACCGGTGACGCCCGCCCGAAAACAGCCAACCAGGATACGCCACGTGGACCCCATCTCCAATGGTCACATTCCAACGGTCATATCTCAACGGCTATTTTTGAAACACAGAGGTGCCCTCAGCAGACACCCTCCAAGAAAACAACAAGCAAGCCCTCGAGACAACACATTTAAACCCCTTCACCAAGGGTTAGCCCCCAGCAGGAAGATCAGGGATAACCCCTCGGGAGCCCTCAGCCCTCGATGCCTGGGGGCTTGGGGGAACCCCCTAGGCAATCACCGCCCTCATACCAAGGATAGCCCTCGGGTTTTCGGGGCTACTCTCCACTGATTATGAATGGCCCTCGGCCTCAGTATTATCCTTCATCTCAGACCGACGGGTTCACCTTTTTTCTTCATTGTGGGGGCATTCGGTGCACTCTTTTCCCCTCATTAGGATTTTTTCCTACAAGGGTTTTTCCTAATGAGGTTTTTAACGAGGCATCTCCCCAAAATGAAGCAAAAGGCGTCAGTCCTCGGCTCTCTACTGAAGACAGGCATTACTCTACTTCTTCTCACCCCATTGCATGTGCCCCAAGGAGTGGGGGACTGGGAGAACCCCTCGGGGAATTATGAACAAAAACATGGCATTGACAAAGAACACATGTAGCCTCCAGGGAAAATAATAAACACAACCCCTCAGGTATGAATGGTCGATACACCCTTCGGGAAACACAAATTACCAAGGATGATAAAGCAGCCTCTGTCAGCAACACACTTGCACTCCCTTCAGGGAGCCCTCGGCCCTTGACATGTGGGGAGACTGAGGGAATGCCCTCGGTACACATCAGAAAGCAAAAAATCTGAGGCACCCCAACAAAACAGGGGAGCCTTTAGGGCAATCACCACAACTACTCCTTTCCCTCAAGTACCTTTCGGCAAGAGGAGTGGGGGACTCCTGATGGAGTATATGGCCCAGGGACCCCCGACCCACATACTCCTACTACTCAAGCACAGGCCCAAGAAGCGCATGAGGCCCAAAACACCGCTGCCCAAGGTCCAAAGAACCCACAGTGCGCTTAGGGACGCCTTCGACACCATACCCGAAGGCCCCAAACTACAGGAGACAACTGATTTTAAGCATACAAAGCTGATGGGAGAAAATGGCAGAAATTAGGAGTCTTCGGCCCCTAGGTGCTCTCGACATAAGGGTAGCCTTCGGGTACACGGAGCCTTCGGCAACAGCGTAGTCGTCGAAGATTCCCTTAGGGGGACAGACAACCACCGCATTTAATGCGACGTCACATCCATGATCCACCCACCGTATTCAATGCGGTGCACCTGCGTATGCCGGTGCCACCCCGATTGAGATGACCCCTCGACTGTTAGATTGTTGACACATGTACTCTCATCGTATTTATGGCTGCTATAAATAGCAGCCCTTATTCACCTTGTAAAACACGCTGAGTTCATTTAATACATTTGGCTCTCCCTCTTACTTGTTTGCTCTGACTTCTCTCTAGTTATTCTCTGCAACAACCCTTCAGATAAGCTACTCCTGAGTACTCCACCCATCAGGTTGTTTTTTACCACAAGGTGCTTCAGTTCTCTGTCCAAACCCAGCTGCACCCAGCCAGATCCTTGTAGAGCAGCATCTTCTGTAGACATTTTTTCAATCAGGGCATCCAAGGAGCCAAAATTGATGTCAATAGCCAAAGAGGTTTTTGGAGGCTCACCTCCTCCTTCCTGTCATTACAATTTTAACATATCCCGAAGTGAATTACTTTTCAAATAAGAACTTAACAAAAGTATTAGCTGTATATTAACTTACATGAGCAGGAGCAAGGTTCTTCCAGAAAATTGAATGGGTTACATGTCCTGTTCAGGAAACACGGTAGTTAAACCAAAACAGGTGGAACAAGAATATTCACGGACAAACTAGAGCACTTTAATTTGAATTTAACAGGTGAATTTGTGCAAAAATGATCGGCTCACAAGTATGATTAGTGATATGATATAAGAAGGTGCATACTATAAACATGCTTTCATCAGTGACGCCCTTCCAGATATTAACGATATTGCTAATTGCTAAAGAAATCACAAGCTTAGCTAAAATCAACCCTCATCATGTCTACAAAATCTAATTTTCACAAATGCACAAAACACACCCGTTTCAAATTGACATTGAACAAATGCACAAAACACATCTGCTTTAAATCAACATTTGAATTAAAGCATTTAAAACTGAAAAACAATCTAAAACTCAAATCGGCAGTGAAAAGTAACCACGTTTCAGGCCTACCGGCGTCGCCACCCACCGTTGCAGGTGTGGGAGGCTCCACCAGTGCAGAACCTCAAACCACCTTTAGATTACAGATTCAAACGTCAGAATTCAACAATCAAACTTAAAGCAACTGTGAATGAACAATATATCTGCGTACCTTTTTTCGATTTCTTAATTTCTGGCCCTGAAAACATCCTCCCAGATTCGTAAACCAGATTGAGGGTGATAGATGACGGAATTTATAAATACAAATCCGATCATTCGTCCCTTGCTCCAACGGAATCTCCAGCGGAATCTCCTTTCCTTAGAAGAGAGTTGGAACTCTCGCTCTCGAAGCCTTCCCTTAGAAGAGAGTTGGAACTCTCGCTCTCGGTTCCACCTTGCGCTCTTGGTCGATATAAATGCCTAAAATTGAAATAAAAAAATCTTGTTGAAAACGGAAAAGATTAAAAATGAAAAGAAAAAATAAGTGGAACATAAATGATATGAGATGCACAAAAGTAGACCTTACGGGTAATTACCACTACTTTTGGCCTTCAGTTTTGTTGGGCCCTGTGCCAATGAACTGACTACCCATGATGTGGGCCGACCCTGAGTATTTGTAAGTTAAAGGCTGGAAAAGTCTATCACTTTCAAACCTTTTATTTTAGGCCCTAAGTTTGATTAAATTAATGGGAATATGAGATGGGGTTTGAATTCCGTCAAGGGGTGTTAGAGTGACATAATTGATAATATAACCACCAAAGTATGTTTTTTGTCCCAAAATTTAGCTTAGTCTCTTATTTACTCTCTAAGATATGCTTTAGTGGCGTGATTACCTCTTAACCCTTTAAAAGTTGTTAGTGCAAAATAGATATTATTATTTCCACCATATTGATTATCAGTCAAAAAATTTAATGTCAATATAGATACCGTAAAAAATGCGTATATAATTTTGTTTTACAATGAGAATGGGTAAATAAATATTTAAAATGCCGAAGTGGATTGAGAAGAATAAAATCCGGGTTTAGAAAATGAAATACTCTCGCAGTCTCGCAAAATAGTCCCTAATTTCTTGTTTCTGTCATTCTAAAAAATAGTTCTCATTTCTCATTTTGGAAAGCTTTGTGTGTCTCACATTCATTTACCTTTTTTATTCGCACGTCCTTTGCGCACCACCACAATTGCTAGGCGCGCCTCTATTTTTTTGCTATTGGACCAATTTGTCCACTTGCGGTCTTGGTCAATCAAACTCACGCAACATCTCATAGTAGTACACTAATTCTAATCTTTTTCAACTTTGTCTTGTTTCCTAAAGTTAAATTCTAAGGGAGAAATCATTACACTTAATAATGGCGTTAGATTTCCTTAAATTTTTTTAGCTTTATACCTAAAAAATAATTACCTTTAAAAAATACTCATAATCCTAATAGATTAAAAATTCCAACTTCCACCAAATATATAAATAATAGTAACACAGTATAATACTCTTATAAGTTTTTTACAATCTTCTTATACAATGGAGAATGAATCTGAAGATTGTCTAGAGAATTGTACTCTTGACTTTCATTCTTATGAGGTATTTTTTATAATAATCACTTCATCTTTCCCATTTTTTGTATCTCAGTTTTTTATCCGTTTCATTAAATTTATCGCATACAATATTCGTAATATTTGGGTGATTATATATACTTTTCATTCATCTTTGTATTGGATATTGTCTTTATTCTATTATCATTCACGGTAATATAAAGTAATTATAATTTACACTTTTTAGGATGTTTTTTAACTCTATATGATCCCAGATCAAACCAGACTACATGTAAATAGACTACAACAAACCAACTTTTGATAATTGTATACCACACATAAAATATAAATCTAATATACCAGATCAGTTCAGACTAGACAAGACCAAAGTTAAACAGATCAGATCGAATGAGATCATACCAGATTTGATTGGACTAGAAAATTTTAATTCAATTAAGAACATCATTAATGGTAGTATAGTTATAAATTAACGTGTCATATATAATAAATGTATTCCTCTATATTTTAGAATGTTTATTTAATACTACGAATATCTTTCTTTGTCTAAAGTTTTAAAATATTAAATACAAATAAAGTAATTTTAATCATGTTTAAATTTGTAGTGTAATGAATATTTTCACTTCGATCAACTCGTTTTAGTCTCATATCAGACTATACAAGTAATGTCTTAGATATTAGTAACAATGTACTAGACTAGATTAAATTAAACTAGAATCAAATATGTGTAAATGCTTAGACTTTTTAGAAAAGATTTTCTCCGTTCTGTTGATGCAAAGATTTTCTCCGTTCTGAGAATGTCGTAATGTTATAAGAGACCTCGTTACAATTGTATTGGATGATTGGTATAAACCTTATATATATAAAACATAAATGTTTTGTTTTTAACTTTGCACAATTCTATATTGGATTATATACTTGAATAAGTAACATTTTTAATTCTAGTAAACTAATTATCTTCATTTTTTATTTGTTTGACTAATTTCAAAGGTGGAGGGGCCCGCATTTTAAAACTCCACTGGCACCATGCTGATTCCGCATTACAGTCATATATTTTACATGATTACATTTATGATGTGAATGATATTTAGGATGTTTTTAATTGAACTGATTTCGATCAAGATAGATTCAAACAAATAAGATCATAACTGACTAGACTAGATTTAAATAATAGTAAATACACATTTATCGACCGTTCACGAGATTTGACCAATTTTTTAAAAAGTTTACATATATAATATTGGTGTCAAATGAAAGATCATAAAAAAATATATAATTCAGTATAAATTTTGCTTGCAAATGCAAATGCAAATGCAGTTTGCTTGTAGTACATTATCTCATATTATTTGCTTTTATCAATTACTCGTATGATACATGCAGGATGATAGTGACGTGTACGTCGGCCTTATTTTTCACGATGGCAGCTTGACTCGTGTCGAAGAAAAATTAAATTTTGAACCTGTTGAAGAAGCACAACCATTCACTTCACATAATTATTCGGAAGACTTTCAAACTAATAAAACTTGGACGGATCGTGAGTCTATGATTAGTTGGGCTAGAGTAGAGGCCCAAAAGAGAAACATGATATTAACTATTGCAAAATCGAGGCCAAGTAATTCCCAAAAACTTGGTAATGTACTACTCGCGTGTGAAAAATTCGGTAAGTATCGAACTGCAAAAAAAATAGTCAAATCACAAGGGGTGAAACAAGACAAAGGAAAGAAAGCATCGAGAACAAAGAAAAGTGATTGCCCTTTTGCATTATATGGGAGGGAAGTGGAGCGGAATTTATGGCAATTGCAGGTTAATTGTGGATTTCATAACCACGCTATTCCAACGAGCTTATTGGGTCACGCATTTGCTGGCAAATTGACAAAGCATGAGATATCTTTGGTGAGAGACTTATCAGAGGCGGGGTGCAAGCCTAAGCCAATTCTCCAAAGTTTAAAAATGGCGAACTCCGATAATGTGACATCTAGAAAGCAGGTGTATAACGTAAGATGTAAGCTTAAGAAGGAATGGAAGGATGGACGTACTGTCATGCAACAATTACTTCATTTGATTTCAAAATATGATTACTTTGAGGCTATTAGGTTAGTACCGGGGAGTGAAGATTTACATGACATGATATTCGCGCATCGAGATTCACTGCAATTATTGCACCTCTTTCCTTATGTTCTCATAATGGACACAACATACAAGACAAACAGGTAAACAATTTTCATTTAAATTATAATTATTCATTCGTGCAAATGATATATATACATGTAACATACTTGATTAATTATGACAGATACAAGATGCCGTTTCTAGAAATAGTGGGATTTACATGTACGTTGAAGACATTCTCTGTTGCATTTGCGTGGATGGGAGCCGAAAGCGCAAAACATTACATGTGGGTCTTAAATGAATTAAAGGTAATATGTCCTCGTTCACCATTAGCCATTGTGACTGACCGAGAGTTAGGTTTGATAAAAGCACTCAGTGAAGTTTTCCCAGAATCCAAGCATTTATTGTGCATGGTGCATGTCAAGCGTAACATAGAAGATAAAGCTTTAAAATTGAGCAACATGAAGACGGTTCAAACATCCTTTTCAAAAGGATGCATGAAGTTGTTTAGTTCAACCACTGTTGAACAGTATGAGGAGCAGTTGGAACATATGAGATCGAAATGGAAGGACAGTTGGGCGGTGGGGCCGGATGAGATATCTTACTGAAAATTGGTTAGACCCGTACAAAGATCGTTTAGTGAGAGTGTGGACCGACCATGTCATGCATTTTGGCACAAGAACTACTAACAGGTAAATCAATATTTTATAAAAAAATTATGAATAATTTCTTTAGTTTTATTTCATTAACTTTTGTGCTACAGGGTGGAATCTGCACATGCAATGTTAAAGCTACAATTACCCACATCTGTTAAGGGGTTTGACAATGTTTTTGCGGAGATAAACAACTTACTGAATGATCAGTTGGATGAAGTGAAGGGATCTTTAGAGTTGTCACGCTGCACCATTCCAACGGTATTGGATACGATGCCGACACTTAGTCAGCTTCAGTACATGGTGTCAAATGAGTGCATGAAGGAGTTAATAAGGATGCATGATGAGGTCATAGAAGGAAAATATGATCCAACATGCAATGACTATTGGTGGAGGGAGTGTTATGGTTTACCATGTCCACACAAGCTAACAACTTGTATTCGTGATAATCGTCCACTACATCCATCAATGGTACATGAATTGTGGAGAAAAGTTGAATGGTATGTAAATAAGGAACAGGAGAATGACAATGCCGATGATATAAGTGTTGATGATGTGGTCCTAAAAACAATAGTTGATGAGTTTCAATCAGGTCGTATGTCAGCACAAGAAAAAAAAAAGACTTCATGCAAAATGGAATGAGATGAAAAATCCAAAACTTAATACTATGAAAGAGCCACCGATTCATGAAACGAAGGGAAGGCCAAAAAAAAAAATCAACCACTCGAGACCCAAGCGCGTGGGAGTACACTGAGAAAAAATACAAAAAATCCAAAGGTACTATATCACATCATGGGCCTCGTGGACGTGGCAAGGATAGTAAAGGGAATCAAAATCGAATGCAGTTTAATTTCGGTAATGATGTTGAGACATTCATGCTTGAGCATATTAGTAAAGTTGTGAACGTTATTGGAGATGGACATTGCGGATATCGCTCATTTGCAGAGCTTTTAGGATGAGGAGAAAACGAATGGGTTACCGTTCGAAGAGAGTTAGTGGAAGAACTAGATCGTCATCGTGGGTTGTATGATCCTATATGCCTTCTTGACACTATTGATGACTTGCGGGAGCAAATAGACTACTACATCAGTCCTGCACCACCCCGGCATTGGATGCACATGCCGCACACAGGGATGATCTTTGCAATGTTATACCAGGTTATTGTAGTGCATCTTGACCTCCACGAACCAGTCACTTGTTTGCCCATGATCGCTCCTCCTGGTAGTAGTCCTCCGAAGACAATTTTTTTCATTGCTCGACTTCATTCCCAATAACACTACATAGCTGTAAGCAAACAATATTTTATAGTTCCATTTTGTTTTCACACTACCTTTTTTTTATTTTCACATTACCATATGATATGCATAAAATGACAACTTGTGTTGATGCACAAATTTGGCTTGACGACAATGCTCCGTTGCCACCAGTGATTTTGACATGGTCTTACTATCATGACTCTAGTGTTACAGGATGAGATACTCCACTTCTTCATCGAATTAAACAGTTTACAGAATGTCGTAATGTTATAAGAGACCCCGTTACAATTGTATTGGATGATTGATTTAAACTTTATATATTATAAAATTAAAAACATAAATGTTTTGTTTTTAACTTTGCGGTCGCATATGTTACATGACTAGATTTATGGTGTGAATGGTATTTAGGATGTTTTTAATTGAACTGATTTCGAACCAGATAGATTCGAACAAATAGAATCAGATCTAACCTTTCACGAAAATTGACTAGATTTTTTTTAAAATTACATATATAATATTGATGTCATATGAAAGATCATAAAAAGGTATTTAATTTGGTATAATTTTTATAAACATTAGAGTAAAAATGAAAAAGTTATGACATTTTATAAAAAAAGTATTACTTGCCACATGACACCATTTGATTGAATGTATATTTAATGCAAAATTCATATGAACAAGGGATAAGGGAGAAGGGAGCCGTGCATGTGGAGATACGGAGGGCGGGCAAAGCAATTTCAGTTAACTTTTTAATTTTACTTAATTTTAATTAATAATTAAGAAGGCCAAATTTGTCCAACCATGATTACATTAAGCAATTTTGGGGTGCACAAAGCAACCCCCTTTTTATTCAAACACAATCGTACATTTTAATTTTATTTCCACTTTATTAAACTCCGATCCAAATTTTATGGAACTGATTGAGTAAACATTTAAGGGTTCTTCTACGGTGCATTCAAAAATAAAGGATGTACGGGTGCATTAAGATTTTGGCCAATCACATTACAGTGGGAAGCCACGTTGGCATCCTACTCATTTAGTAAAGTAAGTTTCATTATTTGTACTTTAGGCCCTAATAACTAAATGAATTATTTAAAGTTTGTTAACTGTTCAATACCCTGTCACACCCATTACTTCCGTAAGTTCCACACAAAACTCACTTCGCGGGTTTTGTGCCGGTTACATCAAACTCGCCGATGAAACCAACTCAAACATCAGCCAAAATGAGAACCAAACGTTTGTGCTGTGGTGCTTCCAATTTGTGAACAAGGCTCCGCCGACGGAAAGCGTCTTATCCTTTGTTCTGGACAGGTCAATAGAATCAGGATGCGAGGGAACGTATCCCGAATTGGATGCAAAGAAATTAGTAGACGTGATCTGTTTGTGATATGGATGCTATGGACGAATTGGACTTGTTTAATTTTTTATATTTATTTTAGGGTTGGAGGATTATTGACTGATGTGGGAAATTAATTTTCAAGGGGGTTTACTTCCTTTTCTGTATTCTTTTTTCTTGTTAGAAATTTACAGATGGTTGGATTTGAAATTAGCAAGTTGATCTGTTTGTAATATAAATGGCATGATAAATGTTCAATAGATGTGTCCAAGAATTGTCTGGCCAGGAATATATATCTCCAAGCGAATGTATAATACTCACTACAATGTATAAATATGTTTTTGTGTATATCTTAAAGAACTAATTAGGTGGGAGGGAAAATTCATACAACCCAGCTAGCCCCTGGAATTGAAAATTCCTCAGATAAAGATTTCTTGTTGGCAGCAGGACATTAATTTGTCCCAATGATAGCAGTGATACATTGTGCTCCTCTACATTGAATGTACAGAGAGTGTTGACTGCGTTGAAGGAATCTGTAATGAAACGGAGTTTAAGAGATACGATTTATCAGACAGTGCACAAAAACTGTGCTCTAATAGCACTGCTCTTTTCTGGTGGATTGGATTCTATGATACTTGAAGCATTGTTGAATCAGTGCATATAGATGTCAACAATGCAATTGATCTGCTTAATGTAACTTTTGATGGCCAGTGTGCTTTTGATAGAATTTCAGCTAGGGCAGGTCTTAAGGAACTCCAAAGAATTGCCCAATCAAGAGGTTCGGGGACATAGGAGAGCTGGAAGAAATTGTTTTCTGGTGTATCCTCCAGATCCCCATTCGTCACGAGATAATCATTTTGCTCCTACAGTCAAGGTTGTTTCTTTGGGTGTTCTTGATCAGGATGGTTCCAGCCACAATCCCAAACTCCCATTATATTGTACTATGTCCATCCCAAACTCCCAATATGCTAGTAGTTTTAGGCACACTTACTACGAAAAGTAGTTTAAATGGAGAGAAAAGATAAAATATTAATGTGTTCTAGGACGTAAGTATCACCGCAAAAGAAGGAAAGCCAAAATCATCATATCACATAGATAAATATACATCTACGGTGTATAAGACAAATGACAATTAAGGATTTAAGACTCTTTGGAGATTTTAGCTATTATTATGCATTGATATTTCTCAAATACTGTTTTCCTCTATGAGACTCTTAACTAGTTAACTCCTTTAAGTCGTTTAAGGATTACATGAATTTTATTATGGGACAGAGCTAGTAATAAACATATTGTTGTGAAATTATCCCACTTTTCGTGAACCAATTTGAGACTAGCGGAATGGTTTTCCCCATCAATGTGAGGAATTCCAAGGTGAGGTCCAGCACTCCAGCCTGTCCAGGATCCTCAAAGCAACATTGAGCATCTTGTTTATCCTGCCAATGTTTCTCTGGATTGGGAGGATTGTAGCTAGACATTCATGTTTTCCAGGAAGGCACTTATGATATAAGATTTTCATTTTGGGGGTACTTTTCAGTGGAATTTTATGTAGCAGTGTGCGTCTATTAGAAACGTAACAGAACTTAGAAAGAAGCTGAAAGAAGATTATCATTGATTCAAGTGAACTGTAAAAGTATTTATAGTAACTAAGACTTTAACAAACTGATAACAGACTTGAACAAATGTAAGAGACTTAGTAATGATCTGTTTCGTTGACTAGGCTTATTACAATAATAGCTTGTACAGTATTCATAACATCCCCCATTCAAACTTAGGGTGATTGATTTGGAAATTCAATCACATTAAGTTTGGTCCTTAGATCAAGGAAGGAGGAGGCTGATAAAGGCTCAGTTAGGACAACAACAAGTTGATGAAGAGCTGGAATATAGTAGTCTGCAAGCTGCTTAAATTGAACTTTTTCCCTCACGAAAATTTGCAACCCATTGATATTAATCCATTGTTCCAATACTTTTGAGGACAATTAATTACCTAAAACAGAACAATAAAACAACACATTAACACCAAAAAATTCCACATTTTATCAGTATATCACTATATCATAAAACTCAAAACTATTTTCCATTAACTACTTATCATTTTTTATTCACAAGCCACCATTATATTACATGCGAAGTTATTATAAAATTAATAACAAACTCGCCTTGACAAGAAGGGGAAGATTTCTGGAGAATTTACTTTGTCACTACTACTACAACTAGTAAAGCCTTTGTAGTTAAAGATTTCTGAAAAAGTACTCTGTAGTATGAAAACACTTTCTAACAAAAAATTTGTGTGTGTTCAAACACTTTCTAGGCAAGTAGCTTAACTAAGGAAAGCATGAAGATAGAAGGGACAAGGAAAAAGTGTTAGGTTCAATCACAGTAAAGACAGATGAGACCATCCAGATCTCAGTGGGAAAATATTCACTGCAAGCAACCATTTTGTGTTCTTTGATGGATGGTTCTAAAAAGATTTCAAAGATTCAGTATTTTTCTCATCTTCTTTCACTTCCATTGAATTTCCTCCCAGAGATTCTTTGCCAGGATATCCATTCCAAAAAACTGCTCCTTTTCCCACTTCTCTTGATTCCTTTGTTGGATGCATTGCCACTCCCACTTGAGAGAGAATTCGTACACTCGATTGAACTAAGAGAAGCGGAATTATCACATTCATTTGCTTGTCAAAAAACAATCAGAATATGTTAAAGAAAAATTTAATACTGAATTCTAAAAGGTGATAATAAATGAAAAATACAGAACTTCAACCGAAATGATTCTACAATAGCACTTTAATGATTTGGATCAAATACACCTATCTAACTATGCAATGTTTTATTCATAAAATTGAAGAATAACTTTACAAATTTAACCACCACAAACCAACAGATTCAATGTCAGCATCAATAAAGTAACTCCTCAAAAACAGGATTAGCATTCTGTCCTCATTTTCCCACAACTCTTGGTTGTATCTAGGAAACATAAATACTCCTCTCAAGGGAGTATTTATGTTCAAGATTGAGCATGTTACCCCCCAAATTGCATTTCTTTAGCTACAAATAATAGGGTTATAGGGGGTATGAAAAAGCAACTCACCAGCTCGTAAGAAGAAGGTTCTTGCCTCAGAATTTCTTTGCTCCCTTCATCCATCTTTACCTTATGTGCCTCCCTTTTGACCGGAATACGAAGCTAATAAAAAGCAGGCATCCTTCAATTTTTTAATGCTGGAGGAAGGACTGTGATGTTTTGATGCAATGCTTGAAAATGAAAATGCTGTTTCTGGCATGATTTGGAGAGAACTTCTTCATCCATTGCTTCATTCAGATGATGTCAGCAGTAACAACTTCTGATTTTTGTAATTTATTTTAAGTTTGTTTTCTTGATTACCCAAAGTCCAAAGTGTATGTTTCTGTTATCACAGATTCACATCAAAGGAAAATACTGTTATGACTTGTAAATGTCTTAGGAAGACAAATGTATACTGTTCTTTGTAGTCAGGTCTCAGCAATGAAGCTTCCATGTTGATTTCTGTAGCTTGTGTAAATAAAGTACTGAGTACTGACCTAACAAAAATTAAGGACTCTCATGCGCTTAATCTATAGTGCCTATATATCGACCTCTACTGGGCATTTGTATCTTTCCAAATGGTTTGTTATCATTTATCAACAATACCAAAATTTCAAGGAATCACACATTATTCGTTTACGGAGCCCGGATGGCTTATGTGACATTCGAATCACCATTTTTTAAAAGGGGCCTACCGACCACATAAGCCATCAAACTCTATATTGGACTCTGTTTGGCTCCATATGACTACTCACCAACAACATGCTACTAATATTACTAAGATTTCATATTCCAATTAATTTTTCATCCTATTTCTCAAATCAGTCTTCATAAAATTTCATAGATAAAGTCAATAATGCTAACTAAATCAGATAGTATACCATTGCAAAAATAGTGTTCATTACTATTTTAGTCCAGTGCTTTTTAAGTCATTATTAATTAAAATGGCTTTTGAGCCTTAATTTATACATGTACTTGAGCTTTTGATTCTTTATTCGAGTCTCGATGTTTATTACCCTAATAATTCATAAATCCAAAGTGATGTACACTAATTTTAACATGCTTAATAATGTAATTCTGAAAACTAGACATTAGACATACATTTATTGAACTATAGTGTATAAAAGAACAGATTAAAAGGAAACCTCGGAGGAGCACAGCTTCACCTAAGGCGCGCTAAGCCAGCAGGCAGAACAAACTCTTCCATTTTTTAGTCTTCCTGCGACAACAGCAAGAACGACATATAAATCAGACGGCTTGAAATTTTAAAACACAAATAGATGACTTCGTGCAGCAACTCGGCACATAAATCAGACTACTTGAGGCCGGGCACCACAGATTAAAAACGACAAAAGCTTCAGGGGCGCTGGAAGATATAATAGATATAAATACCTACAGGACTCCGGTGAAGTAGGGAGCCGGAACCAGCTCGCCCTGACCTGGTTCCGCCGCTGTCCACAATCCTCCAACCCTAAGAAGAATATAAAAAATTAAACAAGTCTGATACGGAGTAGTTGATTACATACCGTCCTTTACATCGCCGGGCCTTGTTCACAAATTGGAAGCACCGAAGCAATGGTTTGATTCGCTTCTCTGCGTCTGGGTTTGCCTTAGAAAGGTATACAACGAACTGGCTGTTGTGGAACTCACGGCAGTAAAGTCAAAGACAGAATATTGAGGCTATTGAATATTTACTTCTTTATTGGGGCTTAGATGTAAATAATAAAACAGAATGTCGTTATACATGTAGGATGCTCACGTGGCTTCAAGAAGCAATTTGATTGGTAGCCATATTCAAGGTACCCGTACCTTGCTAATTTAACAAGGTACAGTAGAAATTTCCAACATTTAATTGAATTCATGAAACGGTTGGCTGCCAAAGCGCCACCGGGATCAAAACTACGACTACGTGCTATTCATCACTTCCCATAAGTGCTGGGCCGGGTATGGGGTGGTGATGGATAGATGTTCGCTATCCGCGCGCACTCCGGGTTATTCAATCTATCGTCGCGTGCTGCCGCAGCATCAGCGCGTCGCCGGCCGGTATTACTCAGAAAGTTCATCGCCGCTGCAAACATGTTGGCGGTGACGGGGTGCGAGGTTCCGGGACAGGGTTGGGAGGAAGCGGCGGAGGAGATCATGATTCCAAGGTACAGCAGCGGCGGGGACGGCAGAAGAGGAAGAGGGGTTGCGATTGTTTGGTACAGGAATGATTTGAGGGTTTTGGACAATGAGGCTCTGTACGCAGCTTGGGTTTCGTCGGAGGCTGTGTTGCCGGTCTACTGTGTGGATCCCACCCTCTTCTCTTCAACTACTCATTACTTTGGTTTCCCCAAAACCGGAGGTCAGTCACTCGCTGCCTTGCTTCATTCTATTACTCTCTCGGTCTCTCTCCCATATCACACGGATCAGGTTTAAAAGACTAGATTTTAATACACATCAGACCAGAGTTCCACAATTTAGAATACACAAACATCATACGTTTATCGTACCATATAAGATCAGACTTATGTATTTAAATTGAGCACATTTTATTTCCCCTCCCAAATCACGCAAATTATAAGGTACCCCCATTCCATATCTATTGCACATTCCATATCTTTTGCACGTCGATTCCTTTGCCATTGACATAGCCGCTCGACCTTCACCATCCTTATCTATTTGAGCTTCACCGTCATCATCATCACGACGTGAAAAGTTCTTTCATTGATGCAGTCTGACCAGGAGCAGATTCCATCTTGCTGCAACTTGTTTTGTATAGACTAGAGTCCGATGATATTGACCTGGCAGATCAATCCAGCCCTTTCGGCATCGCTCTCACATACCAAATGAGCATAACGCTTAAACAAAATGAGCATAGACAAATGAGGATTTGAGCACATTAGCAATTTCAAGTGATGTTTTGAATTTTTCGATACTCATTTTATAAGTTATGTCTGCTCATTTGGTACTTACATTATTCTCATTTTAAAATGCCATATAAATTCATAATTCAAAAGTATCACGATGCTCAATATTATACTCCTAATACTTAATAGAATAAGTGTAATGCTCAGTAAAAGTTCATGAATGCTCGTTTGACATAAACCATGATTTTCATCTCAATAGAAGATATTTGATGCTCAATGAAAATGTGGTGACGTTCAAGTAACAAACCTTATGATTTTCATATTAATGCACATTTTGTAAGTTACATATACTCATTTGGTATTGATGTTATGCTCATTTGTAAAATGTCATATCAATGCATATTTCAAAAGTATTACTACCTCCGTCCCGAAAAGGTTCGTCATATTGACTTTTCTTGGTCAATGATGACTAACTTTGGACAATGATTATAAGTATTATATTTATATATAATTTATAAATTTTATACTTTTATGAAAATATTTTGAATAATGAACATTTTGACATAACTTTCATATTCAAAATAATTTCGTATTACAAAATATAATTGGTGAAAGTTGATTGTCATTAACTGAGAAAAGTCAATTTGGCGAATGGAGGGAGTATATCACATTAAATTCGCACATTGAATTTTATAGGAATTGTTTATACATATAATTTAATAAGTTTTATAAGAGAAAAAATGAATTAGAAGATATGAAATGGAAATGGTGATGTTCATCGTTCAGCTCCTAATACTCAATAAAATAGGTCTGATGCTCACTAAAAGTACACTAATGCTCATTTAGCGAAAGCCGTGATTTTTCTCTTAAATTACGAAAATGCCATCGCCATAAAAAATTGGACCTTTGGTTATGGGTTGTATTAGTTGATGGGCCTGTTGTCTTGCTTATTTGGACCGTCTCTACGGTGGTGACCGTACACCCGGATGTAGGAATATAGGGACTGCCCAACCCACTCCCTCGATATTCCATCTTAACTCTGTTCACAGCTAGCATAGCGACAATTGTGTTTTAAAAAAAACTAACTAGACTTTATTTCTCGAGAAAATGGTCAAAATGGTACATGAAGTTGTTTCGACGGAAGTAAGTAGTACTTCATCTTACATTTGAAATTTTACAGTACATGAACTTGTATTTTTATAGTCGATCAAATACATCTACTTTGTCAGAACACTAAAATAGCTGACTTTGCCAAACGATTGTTTGTATTATATAGTTGCAGTCCAAGTCATCAAATAATTAATCTATAAACTCTATTTTTTCTCCCGTCCACTCGTTTTCACCTTCGCTCTTCATCTTATATCGTTCTCGTCTGTTCTCCCCTCTTTTCGTTCTACATCTTATATTTCTCCTGTCTGCTGCCATCCCGCCGACTTCTTCTTTTTGCTCTATTTTATTTTCTTCTTTTTCGCTTGCTATAATAAAGATAGACTGATAGCAAATAGAAGAAAAAGCCGGCGGAATAGCAGGAATAGCAGACGAGAGAGAAGGAGAGCAGCAGGGGCGGAGCGAAGGTTTAAAAATGTTTAAAAAATGTTTTAATTTTAAAGTAAAAACTTTGTTAAAACTTTTTTCAAAAAATATTCTTTGTACCGGTTCAGTCTGACCCAGTGCTCTGGCTCTGCTCTTGAGAGCAGAAGAGAAATATAAGATGAAGAACCGAGAGAAGCGAAAACAAACGTGAAAAATATAAGATAAGGACCGAAGGTGGAAATGAGTGGATTGAAGGAAATTAGAGTTTATAGATTAATTTTTAATGACTTAGACTGCAATGGTATATTACAAACTGATAGTTTGATCAGGTCAGCTATTTTATCGTTCTAATAGAGCAAATGCACTTAATTGACTTTGAAAGTGCAAGTTTATGTACTTCGTAGTTTCAAATGTAAGATTGAGTACTACTTACTCCACTTGAAAGTTGAAACAACTCCATCTACCATTTTGACCATTTTTTTCTCGCAAAAGTATCGAATTCGTATCTCGGCAACTCCAATTAGATGTTATTATGTAAAAATGTACTCCCTTCGTATTTAAAAGATCATTACATTATATGGAGTGCAAGTTTGGTGGAGGTAGAAGTAGTAGAAATAATGGGATTACTCCTGCATCTTATCTTCTATAGGTGCTACTCCCACCTTTTGTCTGATTATCTCATTCCTCAAGCGATCTTTTTATGTCCACACATCCAACGCAACATACGCATCTCTGCCACACTCATCTTCTGAATGTGACATTGCTTCACCGCTCAACACCCTACACCATACATTAATGCATGCCTTATTGCTGTTCGATAAAATATACCTTTCAGTCTAGTCGGCATACCTCGATCGCATACAAATCCTGATGCACTCTTCCATTTCATCCACCCAGCTCTGATTCTATGACATACATCTTCATCTAATTCACCATCCTTCTAAATTATGGAGCCCAAACAACGGGACATATCACACACCGGTATCTCCTTACCATCAAGAGTAATCTCACTGTTGCTACTACTTGTACCTCCACCAAGCGTGCACTCCTTATACTCAGTCTTGCTTCGACTCAGTCTGAAACCCTTGGTCTCCAATGTTTGTCGCCATACTTCCAACTTCGCTTTAACACCGGATTGCGTCTCATCAATCAATACAATATGGGTGAAGGGTAAAAAATAACACTAGGGTTTTTAATGAATCTCGGATTGGACACTGGGGTTTCTAGTAGACCAAATAAACACCAATTCGAACTTTTTCGTTGATCATCAGCCACCCACTAACACTCCCGTTAAAGAGACATCTTCTCCTCGATTACACACACATACACTCCAATTTGCAACCTTAAGTCATTCTCCATGGACGGTAAGTATGAGTAGCCTGAACTTCGTACCCAATCTCCTTCAAAGACAATGCAACATTAAGCATCATTACTTGGTATGGATCGGCCAACAAATTAACAAAAATCTACCAGAATAATGAAAAACCGGTATACCAAACTATCCACCAGACAACCCAAACAATAATTGACAGGGTAATATCAATACTCACGAATCCGAGTTTGGGTTTTCTGTGGGGGGAATCCCATTGCTCTCCCAGACTCAATAGAGGCATTGAGCTTAGCTAAAATTTTGGAAGGCTCAAACTTAAAATCTTCACAAAAATCTAATCCACCAAGCTCTTTCAAGAATTCCAAATCCCCGGACCCAACATCACTTTCCTTTGAGAATTTTTTTGATTTTTCCTCAAATGAACCAGGTAACAACATCTGGAACAACATAGTGAAGAAGAAGAACAGTCCCACGGGACAAATCCACTGCAGATAGTCAATCTTCTTGAACATAGCTCTTGTGCGTCTCGATTTGAACCTATGAAGCCTGCTTACTCCTGATGAAGGGCGAACCAAAAGCTGGTGTTTCTGATCTTTCTTGAATGGAACACCACATTCAAGAGAACCCATTTATCCGCTCATCAAATATGACTCTTAATAGATACATTCTATTAAGAACAAGACTTTCAAGAAAGAGAGAATATTATTCTTTCTTGCTCGTCATTAGCTGCTTGTGAAATTGAGAGTATTTTTTTTCTTTCCTTCTCCCGTAAAAGAAAGTATGGCTTAGGGTTAGAAATTGGGGATGTGTGTTTAATGGAAGAAGAAAACATCGGTTTAACGGGAGTGTTAGTGAGTGGCTGATAATCAAAGAAAAAGCTGGAATTGGTGTTTATTTGGTCTACTAAAAACCCCAATATCCAATCCGAGATTCATTAAAAACCTTGGTGTCATTTTTGACCCTTCTCCCATACAATATCTTCGGCAAACATCATGCACCACAATATATCATCTTGAATTGACTTCGTAAGTTCATTCATGACTATATCAAATAAGAAAGGACTCAGAGCAGATCCTTGATGCACCCCGATAGTAATAGGGAACTCTGCGGTTCCCCTACCCTAGTGCGGACACTTGTAGTACAAGCATCATACATATCCATGATGATACTGATATACTTACGTGATATGATTATTAAGTCAATGATTATTACTATTATTATTAGTATCACTTTATTGTCACAAAATGGCATATGCCTTTTGTTCATGAAAGACATACAAACTTGACTCTGAAAGTTTATTGTCACAAAATGGCATATGCCTTTTCTACAAGCAATGATACTTTTTTTGGGTGTTCGTTATTATTATACATATCCATTTGGTAGTACAAGCATCATACATATCCAAAATTGTCTCAAAATTCAAGTACTATGATTATTACTATTATTCTTATTATCACTTCAAGAACTGCGCGGTCAGCAATCCATAGCTCCACCGCCTGAAACACCAATCAAACTAGTCACAAGGTATCGCTTCACACTTCGGATAAGCCTTACCGGCGACTGCTTCGCTATGCGCGCCTGGAACGCCCTTGTAGGCGACGCGCAGCTGCGGCCTGTGAGCCGTGCATCGGCGCCGGAGAGAGGTCCGCAATCGAAAGCGGCTGTTCCAAATGACAATGGGGAAATGACAATTTTAACCCTGAAAAAAATTAAAATCTGACGGAGTTTGTAATATTTATAACGGCAGGGGTGATATTTATAATTATTCTGATAACTCAGGGGTGACATTTGGAAAACCTGAAACACAGGTTTGAGATTTCAATATGTTGGATAATTGGGGGGTCAAATGTGCGATTTTCCCTTTTTAATAATTTGAATGATAGTAAGTACTTTCGACCTATGGTAGGTATAACAAACACAAAAATCAATATCTATAACAAACACAAAAATCAAGCTATAATTAGTGAAGATGATCTATGGCATATTTGTAGACATGCAAGTTACATTCTCACGAATCTATTCAAACACACACACACACAGATTATAATGAAGATGTAAACCAAGAGGGGGGGGGGGGATAAAACCTCAAGTTTGTTGTGGATGAGAATTCGTTGGGATGAAGCATAACCGAGATTATAAGGAAGGTGGTTCCCGACTACTGATCTTTATTCTCCATTCAAACAGAACTGTTGTGAGTGCTGAGAATATAGCGTGGCCAGAGAACCTTAAGGTCCATTTTCATCGTCAGATAAACCTTCCCAGTTTTTCGTCATAATTGATATTCATTCTCCCCGTACACGACTCCATCAACGACCCTAAAACATCATTCAAATCGAGGCTTTGTAATCAATGATTCCTTATTCTCTGCCATCCTCAAGCTATGCGTGCACAAATGGAACAAACGATAGTGGAAAAAATGTTGTTGACCCTTCAAATTTGGTATATTTTCCGAATTTGAATTAGCGATTAGAAAAAGCATGTTGTATGATGTTGAGATGGAGTATCTCACAGAGACAGTGGCTTCACGATTGAGGTGAAGTCGTGAGGCGGTGGCGCCATGATTAAGGTGAAGTCAAGAGGTGGTGGCGCCGCGATTGAGGTGAATTTGAAAGAGGCGGTTGGAGAAGTTGATCTACTGAGATGGAAGATGGATCAAAGCTGTGAGGAAACGGAAACAACGGGGTTTCTAGGAGACCAAGGGAGATGTAGAGCTTCTCAATTTTAGACGACAGGAGATGTCAAAGCTTTTAGGGGACGACGAGATGCAGAATTTTGAAGTTTTGTTTTTTATTCAGTTTGATTGAGGGCTTAGGTTATTTTTGAAATTATAGAAGATATAAAAATATTAGTGAAAATGTGAGAGTTGAGATGAAAATAATTTTATAAGCGGACATTATTGAAATGCTAGATAGGAAAATGGCTTGCTTGATCGGGATATTTCCACATTTTACAACTGTCAGAGTCTGGTCTAATTTGTTTAAGTCTAGTTTGGTATGGGACCGAAATTAGTCCAATTAAAAACATCCTAATTATATCCGCCATAATTAAAGATTCAATTTTGCCACTGCAATTCATTTTGAAATCCAGATTGTATTTACGCTAAAAATGCTCTATTTACGCTGAAAACGCTAAATCACAGAGATCAAGCTTAGTATTTTTGACACATATATCTTGTTGTATGTTCTTCCGTTTCAATCTCATAGTAACTACACTAGACTAGATGGAAAAGTGCCCCCATCCCGGCCCTATGTTACACCCAAGAAATCCTTTAAGTAATTAATATAGTGCTATGTTAAATATGTAATTGTTTATTCATTGTTAAATCAGATTATCCATCAAGAATAATCCTTTTGCGGGAAAGAAAAATCTTGTTAGCACACCTATTGATCTATTTAAATGTGATGCTTTTTAAAAGGCTGAAGTTGCTAGCTAGTTAGATCTTTAAAATTGATGATAAATTTAAATGAAAATATATTTTAATTCTTCTTGAAAAAAGGTAGACCCCCCCGCTCATCTTTGTTCTGACAAAGCAATACAAAATAAAAGTGTATAATATACTTCATCGTTTGGATTTTTCCGGCCAATTTCATTAATTGTGTTTTCCCATTTCAAATCAATTTTAATTTGTATACCCTTTTTATGTAAGAATAATGTGTACCAATTTTCATTCATTAATGTATAATTTTCCATTTATATTAGTTTAGATTTTTGGTTATTTTGTGTCATTTTTATTAGGCAAAATTGATACCAATAATTCCTACTTTTAGACACTTCAATAATCAATACTTGTTAAGCGTGTCACAAAAACGATGTTAACTTTCCATTATGTTGGATGGTTTTTGTGGAATTGCTAACAAAATGGATTGTTTACGTATAATTTTTCAAACTTGGGATTATTGATATCTAAACATTAAACTTTCTTTGAATATACAAAGGGTCTTATATAAGCATCTATCTTTAGAATATATTACTAAAACTACTTTGAAAATCTCTACTATAGTGAAAAACAAAATTGAATATGATTAAAATATTGACAAGAAACAAAAGACAATTTGATGATGATGATGATTGACAAGAAATAAAAGACGATTTGGTGAGTATTTGTTCATCTATTTTTACTATAGTTTGTGAAAAATATTTAATGTTAATGAAAATGTAATGGAAATAACTTTAGGATGAAATATAGTATACGGGGCATTGTTTATATTGTTTGGCTTCATTCGAACATGCAATAAATTAACGGAGCAAATGGATGGATGGATGCATGGCAGTGGGGTATAGTGTTTGTCTGGTCCAGCAAAGGAGAGAAGAATCCCAAGATGAATGAAGAACTTTATATTACTCCTTAATATTAATTAGTACAGTGACTGGTTTGAGCCTGAGAAGGGCCATCACTGTTTTTCCCTACCAACTTTTTAGATGGGTTGATATTTTCGTAATGTATGAGTATGGGTTTACGGAAAAATAGGCCCATCTCTTATTTGTTTAAGAGAAAAATTAGATGAAAATTCTTTCCCTATAGGCTGGCGCCAGCCTCTGCATTTATTGTGCATTTTCTGGCGGCTGAGGCAGATGACAGCGCCTGGCCTGGTGCGCTTAATTAAGCTCTCAGACACTCCCTTTTGAGTTTGGACTCCTTGAAAGGCATTCTCATTTGAGCCTTTTCCCCTGTACAAACACACATATAAATAGTGAAATTCCATATTCCTACTACTAAGGCCCAATCCCAAGCATAAACTAATTATTGGTAATACAAATCCAATAGAACATATTTGAGAAATGTGCTACATGAGATCCCTTAAGGATGAAATGACTGGTAATTATCTTTTATGTAAGAAAGAACCATTTGTAAATAATATTCCCAAATATTTCAAGAGTGTTTGTTTCGCAGTCTTGAGGGTGCAATTCATCATAGAGTCATTGGGTGATTTGAAAAGGAATTTGATGAAACGGGGTCTTAACCTATTAATTCAGCATGGGAAACCTGAAGATATTCTACCCTCACTTGCAAAGACATATAATGCCCATACAGTTAAGGGATCTCCAGACTAGTCTTCTTTGCGGTACTAGTTTATGGTAATTCTTGATTCAAATAGTCTTTATATACACAACAAATTTCCGCGCTTATTGTGGCAGGTTTATGCCCAAAAGGAGTCATGCAGTGAGGAGCTTAGTGTTGAAAGGGCGGTCTCCAAACACTTGGGAGCTTCCATACAACTGTTTTCAAAATCTCAGAATGCAACCCGGTTAGAACTGCTGTGGGGATGCACTATGTACCATATAGATGACCTTCCATTCAACTGCAAGGACTTACCAGATGTATTTACCCAGTTCCGTAAGGTACTTGTCCTTTATTTCTTTGTGGTAAACTTTATCCAATGTTTTCATCATGAGAAAAGATTTAATACATCTAAGGTGGATGATGATTACAGTCTGTTGAATCAAAATCGGTAATTCGGAATTGCATAAAGATTCCTACATCACTTGGTCCCTCTCCCAATGTTGTAGATTGGGGATCTTTTTCTGAAGTTACCCAGCTCGGGCTCCAGCCATACAAGGCAGGTTATTTTTTTATATTGATAAGAAGAAACAAGGATTTCTTTAGGGTGGGTGATTAGATGGAGGGGAAGATCTTTGATGGAGTAGTGTATATTTCAATGAATAGGTTGTTTGTATAAAAGGGAATAAAAGGTGATTTAAATGTTATAGATCGCGTATTTTGGTGATCTTTCATTTTTTTCTAAACTCTCAAATGTATATCATATCAAGAATTCAAGATATAGACCAAGCCTTCGAGTCCCCTCCATCCAAAGAGACCTTTAGTATATACTGCACTAAGATCGAATTTACAGGTATCTAAAGGGTTGAAGTTTATAGGTGGTGAAACCGCTGCTCTTGGTAGGGTACATGAGTATTTCTGGAAGAAGGCAAGGGACTTTATCTTCTATCTATGTTTTCTTTTGAGAAGATACAAGTAATCGACTGTGCCTCCTGAAATAGTTGCATCTTTTATTGTATACTGTAGAATTGCGTTTACCCTCTTCTTAACCAAAAATAATACTCCGTACGTAGTACTCCCTCCGTCCCATTTAAACGTTCCCACGCGGTTTATGACGTTTGACTGACCATGAAGTTAACTGATCCCTTTCATTAGTAGAATTATTTTTAGTAAATAAAATTTACATATTCAGAAACTACATTAAAACCGCTACAAAGCCTGATCAAGAAAATTTAAATTTGATAAAAGTTGGATATATAAAGTAAAAGATCAAGAAGAATGCACGTTGACCGGAGAATAGTGGACGAGAACCTTTAAATGGGACGGAGGGAGTAATTGATTTCTGACAAGCTTTTCAATAGGCCGTGCCGAGAATGAAACATCTTAATATTTTTATATAATTTTGAAACAGGATATGCTACAAATGTACAAAGAAACAAGAAATGGAATGCTAGGACCTGACTATTCAACTAAACTCTCCCCTTGGCTTGCTTCCGGGTGCCTCTCTCCTCGCCTGATTTATGCTGAAGTACAAAATCTTGTCTTGTCTTTTGAATGTTTTACTGAATCCCTACACTTTTTTGGCAAGGTATCTTGACATTTTTTTGGTGATAGGATACTCATATTTGGTTATATTTAAATTTGATTTTTTAAGGTCAAGAGATATGAAAAGGAGAGACTATCAAATACGTCAACATATTGGTATCTAATACCTCCTTTTCTCCCTCCTCGCTGGCTCTCTGTCACGTATTTGCATGATAGCTCTTTCATGTGAAGAGTACGATACAATAATTTGAGGAAGTATCTTTAGTATTTCCATGCCCAGAGCCCCGGACATTAACTCTTTTTGAGAGAAAGAACTTTATGCATTATTTGCAAAATGTGTTCAATTTACCACTGCTAAGAGGTATTTCTATTCCAGGGTTTTATTTGAGTTGATATGGAGGGATTACTTCAGATTTCTTTCAGTAAAAGTGGGAAATTCACTCTTCCATCCAGGTAAATCGGGTTTGGGGGAGCCAGGGGCTGGGCTGGGATGATAATTTCTGTGTTCTCATAAATTGAAGGGGAATTTCTTATTTTCTTTGAACAGTCTCATAATACTCTGTTATAAACTTATGGACGGAAGCTTTTTCATTCTCTTCTGGTAACTGCACATGCACATATCTTTATGCCAGAGATACATTCATGATGGGCCCCCTCTATGAAACAATGACCAAAATATTACTTCTAGAGGTTCAGTGGACAACAAATGACTTTAATAATCTCCAACCCCAAATCTATCCCAGTCACTCTTCTCTCTACTCCCACCATCTTCTCTTCCGCCATCTACCTACAATTCGATCCGCAGCCGATGGATAGTTTCAAGGGAACAATCGCTGGAAAAACTAGCCTTGAGTGGTGCTGCTGGACTGAATTAGGCAGGTGGAGCGGTGTCACTGCGTTTGAGGCGACGACAGTGAGGCGGTGACAGTGAAGGATTGTGGCAGTGTCACCAGGGTTGGAGTGATGGTACAGATGGGTTGGACATGTAACTTATTATGAAAAGTGGCATATTCAGTCACTTTTTAAAATATTTAAAAGTAATCATAATTTTGTCTTAAACTTTTCCTTCAAAATTAATAATATGTTTGTCTTGAGTTTTGCCTTTAGTTATATACAAGTCAAAACACCTACATCAAGACATCTAGTTTATTGAACTGCCACAATCTTATTTGTAGCTCTTCTTGTATTGGCATCAGGTGGACCTCGTAAGTTAACCTTTAATTGGAGCAAAGACCAGAAATTATTTGATGCTTGGAGAAATGGTCAGACTGGGTACACTCTCTTTCCTGAAAATGCATGGAAACCTTATGAATATATCCAGCAGTCCAATATTTATCCCATTCTTTAATTTTGTTCTCACTTTTATTTGCTCCCATCATCTCCCTTTTTTCATTTAATTCACATGAATAAACACTATGCAGCAAGTAATACTCGTTAGTTTTGCAAAGAAATATGAGATCTGGAACAACTATGAATGGTGTACATTATCTATGAATGGTAGTTTAGAAATTAATTATTCTTTTTTTCCGTTATAAGAAGGTTGTGACATAAAAGGCTTGCGATGTAATTTTGTAATGATTTTTTAGTGTTAACTACCTGCAGACATTAAGTTGATACTAAGATCCTTGATACCGACTTGAAGTAGTTCGTGGTGGTTGCCGTTTTAAGTCTAACAAAATGTGCATAACCACAATTTCAGGTACCCTCTCATAGATGCCAATATGAAAGAACTTTCTACTACAGGGTTCATGTCAAATCGAGGACGTCAGGTAATTTGCGTTAAATATAGCAAGTATATAGGGCTAATAAATTATTAGATGAAACAACCTTTGGAAAATAATTCCTGTTTAAAGGTTAAAGAAAGTATCATTTACTGCTGAACAGCAGATATCCGTGTATTATGGAACTCTCTCACACATATTCATTTGACAGATCGTTTGTTCTTTTCTTGTTCGGGATATGGGCATTGACTGGAGAATGGGAGCTGAGTGGTTTGAGACATACCTCTTGGATTATGATCCATGCTCTAATTATGGTAACTGGTCTTACGGCGCAGGTATTAACCTCTTAACTACCAGATCATAGTTGTGTTCAGAAAGTGGTAATTCTTAACCTTCTTTGGGAGAAATGATTCTTCAGTTCTTCCAATGAGTTCAGATAAACAACCTTGATGTTAAACTTAACATCAAGAGCATCACTTAACCTGCAGATGTGTTTGGTAGCTGATAGAGATAAAACACCGGCTTCATCCATACACACATAAAAACGCGTTTCAAAACTTTTCTTGTCCTAGAAAAGTCATATTTCAACAAATGAAGGCTGCATGTAATTTTACCAAAAGCAATTCATGAGCTACTACCTCCGTCCCATTTTATGTGTCTTGTTTTGGTTTGGCACAATTATTAATAGGACAGTTCTTAATAAAGTGATTGAAAAAGTAAAAGTTGTGGTTGAGATTTGAGTACAATAAAGTGAAATGATATGGATCAAATGATATCACTTATTTTGGGTCAATCCAAAAAAGAAAATAAGACATGTAAAATGAAAACGAGGAAGTACTAAATATGATAATTTAGTTAAACCAACCTTTAAATTTAAACATATAAGTCTATGTTGTAAGAACCGGACTCTGAAGCGATCCGGCGAATGACCGGGTCACGGGTCAATCCAAATCGGGCGGGTCAACCTAGTCAACGGTTATTATAGTAGTAGACATACAATCATTTATCAAATTTAAATAAAAAGTAATTACTCTTCACTAATAAAATAATTACAATACTTAATTATTCATATTTTGATACTTAGTAAGCTTTTCTGAGTATTTAGTATTCATATATTCAAACATTCATAGTATTATAAAATATAGCTTTAATCTTATTTAAATCAATAATGTATTTGATATTTCTTTGTACATCTACAATATAATTTTGATATGATTTTCTTTCTAGAATACGTCTACAAAATAATTGTTTCATGATTTTCTTTCTAGAATAAATATTTGAATATATCACATAATTTTAAAAAATAAATACAGATCAACATCACTACACTTACTACAAATTCTTAAAAATATTGTAAAATAATTTTTCATTTATATTTAGAATTTTGTATACATAAATGAAAACTACAATAATAGAAAAAAATAAGTACGTATTACTATTCTTGGGAAACTGTAGTAACATTTTAACTTTTAAGAAAGTAATAAATAAATATAATGGAGGGACAAACCATTCCAACAAGCCTTAGTAGCTCCTTCCGATGGCTGTGGGTTTTCCTCGTACCCCAAGTAATCATTCAGGGATGTGCATTGGTTAAAAACTAGACTGGACCGAAACCGGAACCAGTATTATAAAAAATAGAAACCGGACCGATATATTATCGTTTTTAACCCGAATCAAACCGGTTTATCCGGTTCAAAACCGGAACCGTATCAGGAAAACCGGTTTCTAAATTATCATTTTTTAGAAAAAATACGACTAATATTTTTGTAAATATGGAGTAATTAATACTACACCCCGTCCCAAAAAACTTTCTCATTTTTAAAATCTGACCAACTATATCTTTTTATCGAAAATTATTTATAATATAAAATTGATGTAAAAATGTTCTTTCTTAAAAGTACATTCATAAAAGTAAAAATTTATAACTATCATAATATTATACGAATCAAAATCATAGTCCAAATTTTATGAAATGACAAAGTTTTTGGGACAAATGTAGTATTAATAATGTTAGTATTTTTACTATATTTATCTACTTATTTATTTTTATTAGTTTTAACGAGCAAAGATTTGAGTGATTTAATTGTGAAATAATAAATGTTAATTATTTCCATTGTTAAGAAGATAATAAAAATGGATGAATATAACATTTTTTTTATCTTAAACTCCAACAAATATATAAACTCAACAAAAAGTTCGTCACATGGCTGATAATACAATAAAAAAATGCAGGAAACAAAACGATTAAAAGTCTTCGGTCTGCTGTCTGCCCTTGAACCAAACTTAGAATCCATCACCTCTGTAGAATCAATAACATTCGCTGATCCTGTAATGGACTTAACTGAGCCAATCCAAAACAACATCCAAAACAACATCTAGAATCTAGAATCTCTCTGCTAGGAAATAAGAACACATCCAAAACAACATGCAATTCCAAAGAAAAACACAAACAGAAAAAAACAGAATTAAAATAGAGTTCACTCATCCTCTTCCAAACCCTAGTCTCGTTTGCACTCCATGACGGCGGCTCGGGAGGGGGCCGCGCCCGCTGCTCATCCATCTCTGTAAAGCCTCCACTTTCTCCACCAATCACAGATGACCTTGAATTCAGATTTGTTCCAGCTTTTAACCCCAAGCTTCGTCCATGATCTTCACTCGATGATGTCATCCTTTCACTATTGCTCACTGTTTTCCTTAATTATGAAGTCGGACAAAGGGAAGAAAAAGAGCAAGACCAGCGAGCATCAATCGGCAATCATCCACCCAAGCAGCGCGGCGGCTAGGTCTACACCGAACCCCAAAATCTGCTTCTTCCGTGCTAGGATACAACAGAAAGAAAAACGCAAACCGGTTCCGTGATTAGATCAATCACCACCGGACAATCCAAGCTAAGCGTTGCCTAGCGGCAACCCTAGAAAAGTCGGTTTTAGTAGTTGTCTAACCTAGAGAGATGGATGAATATAACCTTAAAATAATATATATATTATAATCATTTTTATGTAGATTGTTATTATTACTATTTTATTATTTTATAGCTATTTTATATAAAAGTATTAATTGATATATTTTAAAATACAGTAAAACCAAGTTAATCCGGTTCAAATTGGAATAATCCAGTTTTTAACTGGAACGGAAACCAGAATTGATTTTTTCATAACCGAAAACCAGATGAAGAAATAAACTACTTCCCGATTGAATTTTTAGCTGAAATTTGGTGGGCATAAACTATACTTGATGAAGAACATGCTCAAAAGATTTCATCAAAAAATTCCACCGGAAAGGCCCACAAATGGACTCGGCCGAACGGCGATTCCCGACAGACCGGCTAGACATGAAAGCTACTTTGTGTGTGTGTATGGATGATAAGCAAAGTATATACAATCAAGATTATTATTTTGAACAAAAATTTTAAGCTATTTAACTTCCCAATAAGGCAACAATTGATTGAATCTGTTGAAATTCATGAAATCCTGGTTGAATCGGTTGAATTATGGAAACAAAAATATTTAAAAATATGTTATCAATAAAGTGAAGAAAGAATTGTATGAAAATAGCAAAAATTATCCTCTAGAATAACTTCATCCAATGCGGCTAGAAAAGTAACTTCAACCTTTCTTTTTTTGACTATTATGAGGGTCACCAAACGAGCCCCATGTTTCCTTATTTTTCATATTATTATTTGTTGATGCATTTGTTCAACATAGAAGATGGGATATAAACTTCTTCTACTTGGAAATTTGAAGAACATTATCCTTGCAAAGTGGTATCTCGAGATGCCAATGTCTTTTATGCTAAATGATAGAGTACACGTTCTTCTCCACAGGTTAGGTTTGTCATTGTAATGATGTTTTTGTTTTTGTCCCTCCCCCCACTTAGGTGTTGGCAATGACCCAAGAGAGGATCGTTACTTCAGCATTCCTAAGCAAGTAAGTGTGTGCCTGAAATATTTTAGCTATCCTTTTGAGTGGAAATATAGGTTTTTGCTCTCATATTTAGCGAAGTTTTGTGCTCATACAAATTAGTAACCAATGGTTAGAGGTGATTACCAAATTGGTGAGATTAAAAATTTAGGATTTTTTGTTGTAATGCACAACTGTTGCGCCTGCTGTGTGACTGACCTTTTGAAAATAAAAGAAAAATCAAGAAATGTCGCATATTATATGCAAGTAGGAATACCAAATAAGTCCCCAGGTTTCAAAATGGATTGGGGATTCACTGATTAAGCAGCGAGTCCTATGGTTACAGCACTCTGCGATATGGATCCCAATCAAAACCAAGTTGAGTACGGCGGTCTAAAATATTGAGGTTGAGTGGGTGACCATGGCCTCAGATGATTAGGTGAGGACAGTACTCCAACACTTGAATATGACAACCTAAACAGTACAAATTATTGCAAAGTTTGGTCATCATGCATCCTCATTGCCGTGTGTTTGTTTTGACCGATGTTGTGTTTCAGGCAGAAAACTATGATCCGGAAGGGGACTTTGTAGCTTATTGGTTGCCAGAGCTAAGAGCAGTCCCAAAAGAGAGGAGACATTCCCCTGGTCTTTTGGGCGTCAAGCCAGTAGTTCCTCTCAGGCATGGACGACGCACCAGTAAATCCAACAATAATAGGTCTGGAGCAGCAAACACGGTACTGAAGAAGAACAAATAGAACAAGGGACCATTACTGGAGAATGAAGGGTTTTTCATTTCATGTTCTCTCTCTCTCTCTCATGATGAGGTGATTAATGAGGCCTCAGCACAACTTTTCTTAGTGATAGATGATTTCAACAATTGTGTACATTATTTATTATTGAGAAAACTGTCAAATACGTCTTGTATTTATTTATTGTAATAATAAAAGTTAATTACACCCTTGCTCTATCAAATCACTTGATCAACCCCTCATACTATAAATATACACCCAATTTGAGTTTTTTTATTTAAACAACAGTAAATAGGCTCAGCATCCTTGCTGATTCAATGATCTCTGGCCGAAGACATCCGGATCAGCAACCTCGGCCCCTATTTCTTTGTCCTGAATCTCTGCTCCAATTTGTCACCATCCTGCATTCCTGCTAGTTGACTGGAAGTGCGTGAAAGGCTCCTAACATTTTAATCAAGGGTAATTACGATAATGACACAGAAATAGGGATAGGAGTAGTGACTTCTATTACTGCTTTTAATCCACATTCGTCATAAATTACTTCTATCGGCACCGTTTAATCCATTGTCTTGTTTATTTTTTCTTTTCATGATCTCTCTTCTCCGTGTTGTATTTCTCTTCCCCACACGATTACCCCTACAGTTCTACTAGATGGTTATTACAACAATATATCGATGTCATTGGTATTCAACACACCATCTTCCCCACACAATTCCAAAGCTTTCGTCCAATATTTCTTTCATAAATCGATGTCATTGGTAGTGGTGGACTCGGTTCGGGCCGGGCCCGGTTCGGGCCTTGAACCGGCCGGGCCTCAGTTCAGGAAGGGGAGGCCCGGAACCGGCCCGGGTAACCCCCGGGTCCGGGCCGAGCCTCGGTTCTATTTTTTTTTGGCTTTCCTAGTTAACCCCCAACCCTCCCCCTCACCCCCAAATCAACCCTAACCACCTCAAATGGCCCAAAATACCCAGTCCAACCCAAAAACTTAAAAAAAAAAAAAAAAAAAATTGGCCCGGCCCGGGCCCGAACCGGCAGGGCCGGTTCACCTTTTGAAGGACCCGAGCCCGAACCGACATCCCACTGGGCCGGGTGGCCCGAACCGGCCAACCAACCGGTTCACCGGGCCGGTCCAGGCCCGCACAGTAGCGGGCCGGTCCGGTTGGCCCCGCCCGAGTCCACCCCTAGGACTCATTGGTATGCCTTATTCAGTCCGATTTACATGAATTGTCAATTCCATTTATATTAAATCAATTGGAACTATTTCTTCTGATATTACGAAAAACATGTTGGTGCTTATTCTGCAACACCATGGTTACAATACACTTCACTTTTCGGTTGGACACTGAGGGGATGATGAATTAAGAGCAGATTTTGATCGTAAGCGGCCCTTTGTTGTTTAAGCAATTTAGAGATGGAGAAGAAATTATATTTGTCGTGCCCAAGAGATGCACATACGTAAGAGAACGGTCGTCTAGATGGAGGGAGATAAACTTCCTCCTCATTTTTTTTTTTTTTTTTGGATGAAATGTAAATTTATATTAACACCCAAAGAAAAACTATACATCAAAAGGTTCTAGATCTCCTAAAACCTCTCCCACCCCTACCTACTGTAGGGGTTAGGAGAGATTTTTATTCGATCTAATCAAAATCAAAAGGGGCCTAAGTATACAATACTAAATGCCCCAAAAGCTCAAAAACCAATCGGTGCTGCAGGGTGCACGCACACAGATCACAAACATACATCAATCATAAGAAAATGCATGGCCAAGAGGAGGTTATAATGCACACTCCCCTTAGCCCAAAACAAAAATCATGGTGTTCCATGTTGCACACACACTAGTCCCCAAAATGTGTATGGCGCGGCTTCGAAAAGGAGGCAACATCCACTCATCAAAGGTTGACCTTGTCATGCGGGTATAAGCTATATAGGATCTTATACACCACATGCTTTATCTTAGCAATAACGTCTTTTTCCGTCTTCGTTCCTTCATCAAACCGGATCTCATTCCTCGCATGCCAAATGTAGTAGACCGCGACACAAAATGCTAGACGGGCACAACCTTGGCCTTCATCATTGATCCCTTGTGTGCCTTCGTGATCCATTTGATTGAGCTAAGCATTATTGTCATTTGGCATCCAATTCCAATCCAATCCTTGATCTCATCCCATACCCTACAAGAAAACGGGCAAAGAAAAAATAGGTGTGAAATTGTTTCCAATCCACCCTTACACAAGTCACACCTATTAACCATGTGGAGGTAACCGAGGCTATCTTGGGTGGACAGCCGGTTCCTCAAGCCCAACCAAACATTAAACGAAAATTTTGGGGGGATGTAGGACTTCCAAATGAAGCTCATTGGACTCCTTGTGATCCTCTTTACTCGTAGAAGCTCAGATCTTGGCCGATACTAGTTTCCCATTGATACTCCTCCTCATTTATTCTATTTATAGCACTTGTATGGCAAGTTTGGATTATTCATGTAAATATTTCATGTCGGGATTATTTTTGTTTAATTATTAAAAGTAAGAATTATTCTTATCAATTTCGCCTTTATTTTTATTTTATTAATTTTTTAGTATAATTTTGAATAGGTATTTATTTTTAATTGATTGTCTCAAATTATATTTTTATTATATTTTACAATTATTTGAGCAAGTAATACGAAATATATTTTTTAAGAAAATGGGTAATATATATATGAGTTAAACTTGCACGCTCCTAAACTTAACGTGTATATGATTCAAATATTCCTAAGGGAGTGATTGTAGTTAGTGAATGAGTTAGCTTAGTGGTGCGGACCCTACTTTGTGTCCATGAGGTCGCAAGTTCAACACTTACCAAGTGCAATTTTTAAAATCAATTTTTAGCACACCTAAATTTGGTGAAATGGAAAGGTCAATGAATGATGTGGAATATGTGAAGTGGCTATTGTGCTGACAAATCATAGGCGGACGTGTCTATTGTGCTGACATGGTGGATGGACAAGGTTAAAGTACTCTTGTTTGAGAAATAAGTTTAGAACTATCCTAATTGGGAAATATGATTGAAAAGTACCTTTATTTGGGAAAACCCCTCCAAAAAACTAAACACATCGCATTAATCTATTTTTGTTTTCCTTCATCGTCAAAATTCTAAATTTTATTAATCTATTTTTTCTTTAATTATCTTCATCTCCTTCATCAAAATATAAATAATCTAACTACAATTTCATTTTTCTTCATCTTCAAAATAAACCTAGGTTTTTCTCCCTCCAATTCAAATATGAAGTTCTATTAACTCAAAATAAATATTTGAAGACTTGCAAGTTGCAACATTCCTTAAAGCTAGATATCTTATACTATCTTATACTAGACATCTTACATTTTAACTTGTCTCAAGTTCACATTTCCACCTAACATGATTTACATTTGGACTTGCCTCAAGTTACACTTACTTTCAACTTGCCTCAAATTGCATTTTCATTAACATCATTTACATTTCAATTAAAGATATTGACATTTTGAATTGAGTCAACAAGTTTTGCATACACACAATTTATATTTTGACTTGCCTAAAGTTACATTTTGTATACATGCAATTTATATTTCATAACCACTGATGAGAGTAATGCGATTTGCATTTCAATGCATTGCTGATTGAGATTACACTACCAAAAACCTCGTTATTGGCTCGAAAATAGGCACGGCTAAAATCCCAACCAGTTTTGGTGCAGACTAAGGCTCGAATCACCTAAAATCCAGTTTAACTTCGGTCTTGGCATGGCAATATCTGTTCCAAATAGTTTGGCTCAACTATTCCGAGCCTCAATCTGTGCCAAGACCGAACAATGGGAAAACAAATTGGCCCGCGTGAAAGTCTGACGCACTTTCCGTCGCTATATGGCTGAGAAAACGTTCAGAGCATAAAATGAATGGTTTTCCCTTTTGCTATGGCACAGACTACGCCGTGACAATATTCCCCGTGCCAAAATCCGAGATAACGTCGTACCAGAAGCAGCTAACTCCATATCCGTGCCAAGTTCCGGGCCATAAGTCACGGGGTTAGTACTGGTGGTTTGATGTTTGAATTTCCGTGCCAAATGTTGAGCCATAAGTCGCAGGGTTAGTACTTGTGGTCTGTTGTGTTATGATTTTCTAATAATTTAAAATGTTATGGGCCCAAATAATTTATGGTCTATCTAATAATACTTGTTTTTATTAAGAAAATTAAAATGTTTTTACTTCGACTAAAATTTTCCAATCTTCTCTGATATGGTGTAATCTGAATAGGTCTGGTCTGACACTAAAAATAGTCCAGATTAAATAAAAACACTATTTTAACATAGAAACTCAGACTGATTTTATTATGCCAAAACCACCGATTTTATTACATTAATTTCAGTCAAACACAGACTAAAATTACTGAAAACTCAAACAATACACGATAATAAAAATACATAATCGAACGGTACAACAATTTGTATCTTTAAAGTGGCTTGCTACCATGATCTTCTTGACTTTTAGCCTGCAGTTCACTTCCTTTTTTCAGTAACTTTTTAATTTCTTCGGCAGCAGCGTCATCAACAGGCTTCATATATTTAAGCATTTCCCTTAAATTATCATTTTTTCCTAACAATTCAAGATCACATATTTTTTCCCCACCTAAACCTTCTGGGGTTTCCATAATAAATATGTTTTAAGTTTAACACTTTGAATTTGATCTTCTTTTTTACCAAATAGGTATATTTATAGTAATAGTCATACGGTTTGGCAGGGATTTGGCTGTGCACAATTCCGAGCCTACGATGAGACCCGAATAATTTTTAACGCTTTGATTGGGCTAATTCCGTCTCAAATCCGTGTGAAAACCCTCACGTTGATGTCTACGCGCTTGGCATGGCGTTTTCCCAGCCAAATCCTGGCCAACATTATTCTGACAAAATAATTACTGACCGCAGAGGCTTTTTGAGAGTTTTTGCCACTTTTAGTCCCTCGACTATTGTGTCAGTGACACTTTTGGTACTTGACTTTTAATTTTTCCATTTTTAGTCCTCGACTATAGTGCGAGAGACACTTTTAATTTTTCCATTTTTAGTCCTCGACACTTGTGGTGCTTCCAATTTGTGAACAAGGCTCCGCCGACGGAAAGCGTCTTATCCTTTGTTCTGGACAGGTCAAGAGAATCAGGATGCGAGGGAACGTATCCCGAATTGGATGCAAAGAAATTAGTAGACGTGATCTGTTTGTGATATGGATGCTATGGACGAATTGG